TCAGTACATCGAGCAGCTCAAAATCCTTCCTTTAGTGCACGCCTCAGCATTCTGTCAGATCGCTACGAGGATACAGGATCGGCTCGTTGAGTCGCCACTGCTTTCCTCTGCAGAGACAGCTAGTTACGACGCGCAGGTTGTAAAGTGGCATGAAGAGCTACCATCAATCCTTTCGAACCCCGATGAGCCGTGTCCGGAGTTTCTCCGACGAACGCGCTTGGTCATGAAGTGGAGGTTTCAGAACATCCGCATCATCCTCCACCGCCCCATTTTGCTCACTGCCGCACTCCGACGCTCCCCATGGGTCGCCCTGAGCGCAGACGAAAAGGTCGCAGTAGGCAAATGCCGACTCATCGCCTCCAAGACCATCGAAGAGATCAGTCAAGAATGCATGCCTGATCTCATCTCAGGTTGGAACGCTGTATGGTTCTGTTTCCAAGCGTGCATGGTCCCACTCGTCTCCCTCTTCAGCGACACGAGCATACCAGAAGAAGTCGAAAAATGGAAGACCAGTATCGAAACAGCACTCACATTCTTCGAAACAGTCAAAGACTGGAGTATCGCAGCGAAAAGAAGTGGAGATGCAGTCACTCGCCTCTACGCAGCGTACAAAACAAACGTCTCTACACTATCACATCAAACCCAGCCAACTATGCCACACATCCCGCACCCCCAGCAATACCACCCACAACAGCCTCATCCCCACAGCCAAACGCACACCCACTTTGCCATCCCCGGTACCTCGACCGCACCTCCCATGCTCAACACCCACGCCGCCGCCTACACACCACAGCACCCATCGATGCCACAACCCCAACAGCAGCATCCCTCTTCCTTCGGTCACCACTACAACCCCGCAACACCTACCTGGGCCAGCGCCAGCAACGACCCGACTATCCTGAACAACTTCTGGGACGACATGATGTGGGATACAAACCTACCGGATATGCTAGAGACACCGTTTGGCCTAGGGAATGAATATGAGTTTGGTGGCGCGGCGCAGGATTCTGGGGCGCAGGGCGCGTGTTGGATGCATGGGAACTAATGGAAACGTTGAGGAGCGTTGACGTGACGCTCCTGTATCGCAAAATACACTACACGCACAATGTTTGAGGCTGTACGCAGCACTGGAACGCAGATCGGATACACAAATGTCGAGGACGACTCCATCCACCGACACCGGGCGAGAGCGGCCCAGTCGATCGCATACCCACCCGACTATCTCCCCTCCATGCCCCTCGATTCCCGGCATACGGAGACTGCACGTTGTCTACAGCCGTAGTACAAGCTGCAGCAGTAATATACAACAGCCGGCACCGGCACCCGTAGACGCGACATGGATCCTGAAATATCCTTGTCCTCCGTCTCGTGTATATTCACATGGTAAATTCGTGCTTCCGCGCGCGTCTCGGGAAAGCGGGAGAAAAGGATGATTAACGCGGATAGCGGGTTGGAAATAGATCGGCAGTAGCTGTGTGTGTGTATGTGGAAAGGGCTTCTGGAATTGCGATGCCGAAGCCGCGGTGTTCGTGTTTGTTGATCTTGATGATCTTTATATTACTGGGTTGGAGGGGAGTGAGGCTGGCTGACAGCTTTGGGCTGGAATGATGAGGCGGCTCTGCATGTGTCAATCTCCTTCCACAATTTCACATGTCGATATCTCTCTTCCTTTCCACATACATCCTTCCTCCCCCTCATCTCTCTTACCCAGCTCTTTACCCCCTCACCGTTCCATCTCCAAGTACCGCATACATGGTTAGACATCTTCCCAAGTTCCCTTCACACTTTGTTATAGACCAGGGGGTGAGCATTATGATACCCCGGATTCTGGTGGTGGCTAAATAGCTAGTGGAGATGCGATGTTGATCGCATGCATGCATGTACGCACGTTGGATGTAGTTAGATATAGACTTGAACACGTACGTCGCTGTTTGCCGAATGCAGAGAGGGAGTGCGTGAGAGCGTTGTTGAGGTGATGTGTGATGGGCTTAACAGAGGACATATAGGGGGACGTTACGAGGTGAGGTGAGTTACTCCACCTTTTTGGGGTGGGAGGGCGTGTTTAGGCTAAGAGGGTGCGTGATGGTCGGAGTGGTCACTTGGAACAACTACTTGTACTGCAATGCTACGGCTGGTCGATTGAGATGGAAATTCGAGACATGAAGATATGTCAACAATCTCCATCACGCGACTCACCGAGACCATCACAACCGCAACAGAGCACAATCTACACCTCACCATCAAGCCCACAGCAGACACAATTTCTTGACCATCTTGGCAGCAACACCAATTGCTTAACCGACCTGTATGCTCATCGGTGAGGATGCGCAAGTCGTGCTGATATGCTGTGTGAGCTGGTGAGGTATATGCAGGGTTCACGATCCATCCGTAGATGTTGAGTGTGCAAGTGAGAAACGTGACGCACGTGGTCGTGTCCAACGTGGCAGGCCAGCCGAGGTGAGTCCCCATGTGGCGGGGCGCCGATGACGAAATGGGTGCGGGTCTTATCGATTAGACACCTTGAGATCTTGTCTTGGAATGCTGCTGCATGTGCGGGCTGGGCGCGATAGACTCCGCGCGCTAGATTATGGAGGCATGCTTGGTAGGCGGTAGCACTTGGTACCGTGGTACAGGTGCATGGTGACAGATGATAGATGGTCCCTGGAAGTTGGGTTTGTAGAGGCGTGGTCTGTCAGGATACCACAATGCTTTGAGAGGCAAGTTCGCAAACAAAGGAGTCGGGACGATTAAACAAAGTTCACCTATCACCACGCCGCGCATCTCCCCCACGTGTACGCTGGAAGCTTGGCCACAAGCGGTCGATCGCGACTATGGCGCTTGGCTGGCTTGCTTCACCGGACCTATTTCACCGCCGCCATTACTGGCATCCGTGAAAGGAGCGCGCAATTGCTTCAGCATCCATCTGCACCCTCCCACACCAGTGTGCGAAAGCCATAAACCACCGCGACAATGTCAGAACCCGATCTGCACCGCGCCATATCCATGAAACCGCACCCGTTCCACACGCACCCGGACCGCATAGAACGCACATCAAGTCCCCACCACGCGCACCTCAGCGCCAGCAGCAGCAACAACAGCCCCAGCGCGCAACATACCCACAGCCATGCCGACGCTTCAACTCCGCGCAAGAACGACGCCAGCAGCACCGCCATCGAAACCACCGCCCCAACACCGTCCCACGACCCCATAGCCCGCCACGTCCGCCACCACCCCGACGTCTCAGACCTAGAATCGCAATCACCCCCGTCCTACACCCCCGACAACGACCCCTACTCCCTCTCCTCCGCCATAAAACCCGAATCCGAACTCGCCCTCATCCGCGCCAACACCAGCCGCAAACGCGACGGCTGCGGTCCCATCACCCTCAACAAGGCCGCGACGTCAGCAAAGAAGCTAGAGGAGTTTTACTCTGCCCAAAATGAGAACATAGAGAGGTTGTTGAAGCCTGTGGCGGAGCATAGGGCCGCGGCGAAGGATGAGGATACGGCGAACCATCTCAAGTATAAGATTGCGGTTATTGGGAGTTTTGCTGCGAATATTATACTGGCTGTGTTGCAGCTTTATGCGGCGGTGTCTTCGAGGTCGCTGTCGCTGTTTACGACTATGGCGGATTCGCTGTTTGATCCCTTGAGCAATCTTACGCTGATTATGTGTAATCGCGCTGTTGCGAGGGTGGACGCGAGGAAGTTCCCCTCCGGGAAGGCGAGGATTGAAACAGCGGGAAATCTGTCTTTCTGCGCGCTTATGATTACCGTTTCGGTGGTCATCATCGTGGAATCTATCCGCACTGTCGCCGAACACAACGGTCCTGAGACGAACGACTTCTTCCTTCCGTCTGTCATCGCCGTCAGCATTGCGTTCGCGACGAAGTTCAGTCTGTTCCTGTACTGTTGGGCTCTACGCAATAAGTACAGCCAAGTCCGCATTTTGTGGGAGGACCACAGGAACGATCTCTTCATCAACGGATTCGGTGTCCTGACCAGCGTCGGTGGATCAAAGTTGAAGTGGTGGTTGGACCCCATGGGCGCGATGATACTCTCTGTTTTGATCATCTTCCTCTGGTCCAGGACGGCGTACTCGGAGTTCCAACTCCTGATTGGTGTTACGGCTGATACTGCTATGCTGCAACATATCACTTATATCTGTAAGATATCATCCCACTCCGACTATTTCCTTCATCCTACTAATTGTTCTCGCAGCAATGACACACTCCCCCACCATCCTCCAAATCGACACCGTACGCGCCTACCACAGCGGACCCCGCCTCATCGTCGAAGTCGATATCGTCATGGACCCCGAAGCTACTTTGCGTGCTACACATGACGTAGCCGAGGAACTTCAGATTAAGCTGGAGAGTCTGCCTGATGTGGAGAGGGCGTATGTGCATGTAGATTACGAGACGGATCACAGGCCTGAGCACTTCTTGAAGAAGGAGCTGTAAGGAAAGATGGATGACGCATGGAGATGAGCGCAGTAGTGCCGGAGAACTAGGCGCAGAAGATGTCAAGTACTGCGCTGCGCTTTGAATGTTGTATTCATCTATCTCATCTCTCCTCTTATCTTCTTCCCATATCGACTATCATGACACAATCGCCACAAGAATACGATTAGTACATCACTACACTACCATCTGAACTGTCATACACGCCATCGACTGCTTTCTTGGAGGACGGCACTGCGGACGCTTCAATTTCCCACGGTTTCGCTCGCTTGGCAATTGTCGCGTCTATAAATGTTGAAATCACCCACTCCTTCACATACGACCATAGGACAATGAGAATTAGGCTTCCCGTCCGCTCAGCCATATACAAGCATTGTACCGGCGGATTAGTAGTTAGGTGGGTGACCACTAGCGAATCCCCGCTGTTGTATGTATTTTGATGTTTTTTTTGCTCATCTTTTTGCCCCAGTCCGGGGCGGGCAGGTGGGCCGACAGAGGAAGGCGACCCAGCAAGCAACACCAAGGGATATAACCACATCTACAATCCTGACACACCTTCCGCGAGATCATCAACTGCGCTGTCTTGCGCAATTGCAATTTTTGCTTCTGAAAGTTGCTCAACTAAGTCGTCCATCTCTGCATCTTCATCGGGCGTGGCTCTATCCTGCTCCTCAACTCCAATCTCTTGTGCACATCCATTTCTCATGTCCCAGACCCCATTCATTGCGTCTCTTCTTTGTCCCAAAGCCTTGAACCCTTCAAGGTACTTGATGCGGAAGATACCTGCTTTATCTTCTGCTTCACAGACCCTACCGCCCTTCGCCACGGCTTCCAACACTGCTTCATACGTCCAAAGCTGCACATTCGTCTCTACATCGTCCATCACCTTCTGCGAGGCCGATCGGTTCTTCTGATGGTCCTCGAGGTATCGCGAGTATTGGCTGCGTATGCGGTCTTCGATGCACACGGGGCAGATGAATGGGTGGGCGTGTAGGTTCTCTTGTCGCTTGAGCCAAGAGAGTGGGAGTTGGGGTTTTATGGTATAGATACTACGGGTGCAGTTTGATGAGCATGGCGACTTTGGGGCAGGGAAGCATACCGGCGTGGAAGGCGAGGACGGCGGCTTGATGATGTGTTCGCAATCGAGAGTATGGAGAGGGGTGGACGGGTCGTCGCAGTGGTTTCGAGCCGGCGGCTTGGTGAGCGCCATGGTGGAGTGCGGTATGGGTTGGTTGAAAAGGTCGCGGGCGGGAGCAATTTGCGTTTGGGTGTGAGTGAAATGGTAGGCTGCAGTGATGGGATTGTGAAGACATGATGTGCAGGGACATATAGTAGAGGGGTCAAAGTGCAAGGGACGTCTTTCTCATCCCTTCCACTATTTCATGGCCGGATTCAGTCATCGTGTATCTCGTGTGTGTTGCGGGAGTCGTGAAAGTGCATGTGAGATTACAACTATTTGAGGGTGTTGTTGTATCCTCGACATACAATGACTACATTCATTGAAGGTGCAGTGCATCCGCTACCGTCGTATCCCCCTTGGCTACCGGAGCCCCAAGTCCCTCTTTCCTACCCGGCAGTCCACATTCCAACAACCTCCTTCTCTTCGCATTTTCACAACCCGTAACGGTAAACACTAGATCCCTTCCCACCGTCCGTCTTGCCTTCATATACATCGCTGTCGCAACAGCCTGCAGCAGTTGCGCAACCTTCTGTATATTGTGTACTTCTTCATAACGCACATCAAATTCGACGTGTTCGATACAATGCCGCTCTGGAATGCAGCGGAACGCTTCGCGCCAGCTTTCGACGATGGATTCCATCAATAGGTAGGGGATCTCATCATTCTCATGATCGTGTTTGACTAGTTCAAGAACATCGTTGCTGTAGATATAGGGGGAGATCCAGATGCGCAGCGCTTTGATCGCAGTGCTGGGAAGTAGGAAGTGGTCGTCGGCGGACTTGCGTGAAAGCTGCGGCTGAAGGATGGGAACATTGGCGTCGCCGGTGGCTAGCGTGGTGCCGAAAACTGAGAGGGTTTGGGGATCGTTGATGGTGATGAGGAAATGGGGTGAATTGCCAGCGGCGATTTCTGGGTCGAGATCTGGACTTTTTGACGATGATGTGAGAGTGTCGGGATGCGCGGTATCTGTTCTTAGCTCGAGGGAGACTGGCATCATTGCGAAGTGAATTGTTCAAGGTGAAATCAAAGAGGGAAGACGTGTAGACGTGTGAACGTTGATGTTGGTGTCGATGCTTATGACATTTCGTCCACGCGGTGTTGACCGTTTAGGCAACCATTCAGGCGGCCAATGAGCGTGGCTGTGTTCTTTGCTACTAGGAACACCTTACCATTCTCTCTGACTCTTCGAGTTATTGGTCTCTAGTGCTGACACACTCGAATTATTCGTCTCTAGTGCTGATACACCTGGATATTGCTGAAACAATATAAAGTTCTATAGGCGTTCACTTGCTGCGAGTATCGGTCATCTTGCGCAACGCATGCTTGTCACGTCGCAAAGCAAGCAGGTACAACCCGCAATCAGTGTAAAAGCAGAAGTAACAAGCTTACGTCATCTCTCAGCCACTCCCGAGGTCATTACCTAGCACCCTAGGTAGTCGCACCTACCCTAGCTTCACGATACCTTTGCCAAGAATCGAGTGGTATGGCTATATACTATACCACCATGTGAACACCACATCACGAAATCGTCCGAAGACGCTATGATACGCTCAGTATTCGCTGCGTATACATTGCGCAGTCTGAAATCATGGCGAGGCGAAGACTGCGCAGTTGCTATTGTGCGCGGCCGGCCCTTCACTAACTACGGCTGCGTGAGTATCACCAATTCAAGAACTCACACCCAACTCACCCTCACTTCTTGGCGGTGAATTCTAACTATTCAATCCTATTGTCGCGAGACCGACTCTTCTCTTTCGACTCACTCGACCTCGCCTGACCTACAGTCCAAGCTACCGGTCACCCACCTACCGCACAATCCAAATCGCGCTTGCCGCCTACATCACCTTGTATCCCAAAGTGTTCTCTTCGTTAGCACTCATGTCGTCGTCTGTCGCCAGACAATTCGGCAACATGCTCAACACTCGGTGGTCGCTCCCGGGACAAGCAGCCGCGCCGTCGCCATCCACCAAGCAAAAGACCGACTCCAAGCAGAAGGTCGACGCCATACACGAGAAAGTCACCTACCCACGCATCTTAGGACTGCGAGAACAGAATTCCTGCCGCAATGCATCCATGTCTTACGAGCACCTCCTCGAATGCGGCCACCTCATAACTACACTCACGCCCGACGAGCGATGCGCACCGAATTGCTACTGTGTCGAGCATGGATGGCACGAGATTAACGGCAATGAGAAGAATAAGGCGAAGATGCTACTGTTCTACTGCGACGCGTGCGTAGAGGAGGAGAATGAGAGGCTCGTGTCTGATACCTTGACATCAACGGGGACAGGTAAGTTCACTTACTGGCAGTAACGCTCGCAACGACGCTGACCACTTGACAGAGAACCTGCGTCGTACGCTTCGCGAAAAGGCAGCCATCAAGCGCGAAAAGCAGACCAAGTTCCGCAAATGCTATATCGCACTCAAGATCACATCCGTGCCTTGCCACACCGACGGTGCACTACGCAAGAGTTATACGCCGCGCAAAGAGCATCATCCTTTCGATATTTCGATCCCTCGAGTAGGCGACAACTTCTTTGAAGACATCCTGGCGAACCCGGTGAAGGCCTCGAAGGCGCCTGGCAACACGACCGCGACCGCGCCCGTAGAAGCAAACCACCCCGTCGTCGGCAGTAGCCCAGCCAACCTCGGCGAAGCCGGCGCAAACTACCTGCGATACACGGCAGCGCAATCTGCAGCACCTACGGCACCCAAAGCCAAGCCGAGTGCCTCCAACGCTAAGAAGACCGCGTCGCTGTCTGCTCCACGCGAGGCTGCCGCAGCATCACCGGTGGTACCAAGTACCAATGTCGCGCAGAAGATATCTCCAAAGCAGTCGCGCAAGAGGCCCATTGTCATCGACGACGATGAGGAATACGTGGACGCGCCGGAGAAAGAAGCAGAGGGTGTCAAGAGAACCAGGAAACGACAAAAGGCTACTTCGTTGCCGTTGCCACTGCCAGCTACCCCGAAGAGGAAGCCAGGGCGTCCTAAGGGAAGCGGTCGCAAGAAGGTGTGAGAGGTTGATGAATACAGGTGGTGCGGAATCGTGAGGATGTGGAGGTGATGACGAGGTTGGAGATTACAAGGACGGGGTGGATGATGCTATGCGATGCCTGGATAGTGTCGTATTTGCTGGGCTGGTATTCTGGTATGGGTACATATTGGATAAAACATGTCATTGATCACGCTTCTGATGGAAGATGTGATGCAGAAGGGTAACGTCTGGTGATCGTGTGCGATGTTGCTTTCACCCCACTTGGCCTGCTGACTAATCTGCATCCTGCCATCTCGCCACCCGTCCTCTGTACAACGTACCAAATGCACGATTGAAGTGTACAGCATATTTTATTTTGACACTCATTAACAAGAGTTGAACTATCTATCTGCATGCTTTAGTACATCTAGTTCTAAACTATCATACACGAAGTTCCCCACGTCGCGCATCTCAAATCCCCCCTCTTTATCCAAAAACCACTCACAATACGCTAGATAGATACAGTCCAGATAGTACACAACATACAACGCCTGCGACCAATACTACCGCGATTTCCATGTTCGACATTTCGTCCACGCTGTGGATTCTGATATCCTGCCGCATATCATCTCTTTCTGGAGGGAGACCGCGTTCTAGATCAATCGCATTGCGCTCTTGCTGGTCGTATGTGTTGGGGCGGATGAATAAGTCGGGCATGGCGTCGGTGTCGGTTGTTATTTCGCGAGCAACTGTCGAATGGTTGTTTGATTCCGCTGTTGCGTACTATTATTTGGAGCTCGTAATATTATGGGTGGCACAGGGGATATAGTGAATAAGTGACACGATTCTATAGAGCGGCCGGGCGCTTTGACAGTGAATGAGCAATGCACTGTTTGGCTGAAATATAGTGTGAATAAAAGGCATGTGGCGCTGCGAGCTACTTCTGTAGTATTTGATCGGATGGATTTGGGAAACACACCGCCCCCGGCCCCATACCGCGATCTCCAAGCCCCCCTCCCCTTCCAACAACCACTCACAACACACCAGTACCATAAAGTATAGACAACGCAAAACACACACCGCTCACAACTAAAAGTACCGCGATGGTCGTGTTCACCCATTCGCCCTGCCTGTACATCCCAGTATACCGACGTCCACGTCCATCATTCCCGTGCGAGGAGAAACCGCGTTCTAGATCAGGCATGGCGGGCTCTGGCTGGTCGTGCGGATTGGGGTTGGGGTTGATGAATAAGCTGGCGAGGAGGTGGTTAGCGGCTAAGGAGTTGGGAGTAGCTGTTGAAGGGAAGGTTGAAGTAGATGTGGAGGTATTGTTGGAGGGGGTAAGTGTTGAAGGGGTTGATAGATGGGTCGTCGAGGTACTGTTGTCTGGGGTTCGTAGTATTATGGGTGGCATCGCTGTTACTGTGGGTCTGAGTGTAGTGAACCTGAGCGGGATAAGTGTAAGAATAGTTCCGGCGCTTTATAAGTGAATGTGCAATGGATTTGTTTGCTGTAAGGGTGGATGGATAGAAGAAATGTGGTTCTGTGAGTCCCTTCTAGACTACTTGGTCGAGAGTCGTGGAACTGCCGACATGCTTCCATAGACGGCTGCATGGCTCTCACCATGAATCATTCCTCAGCGCCAGACTCTTCGATGTCGTCCACATATTGTCGAGTCGCAGCGGCGAAGGCCCCCTAAGCAGCATATATCACTTTAGATCTTTTGACGGAACGTAGGGTATGTTTTCCAAAGCCGACGAGTCGCGGACGTACTGAGAATATTCCCGGACAGTCGCTGCAGCCTCCATCTCACTACCGACGACCCAGACCTTGTCACACCCACCTATAATCGTATTTGCAACGACGATAAGACCGCCCACTTCGGTTGACAGGAGACGATTCTCCAAGGTTTCTGTGAAGACATCCAATGAATTCTCAAGAAAGACAACATTCTCTAACCGAAGTCTGATTGATAGTCGAAGTAACTTCTGGACTGCGATCCGGTTCAACTTCACATTGACGAGGCGCAACGTGTCGAGACTGGAGGTCCAGATCGGACAAAGAAGCTGAGACGATCCCGACACTAGCCCTATCTGAGGCGCGGACATGTGAAGCGCGTTGTTCTCTGCTAGCGATCTTCCTGAAAAAACCAGATGCCGTAAATTTGGACAGCGCAGAGTATTGGGCATAATGTATGTGTCCTGGGCCAGCCTTATCTTCAACGACTCGCTGCTATACGCATCAGACTTGTCGCCACTGTCAAATATGTATTCCAGTGTAGTGAGATGAGAGAGTACCATGTCTCCGGTCGGAAAACCGACGAAGCCAAGTGTGTTGAAGTTGATGGTGGCGTTCCAAAGGCGCTGGCCCGGGCGGTGATCTATGTGTCTAAGCAACGCGTAGAAGATGTTCATGGAGTGTCTGCTTTGAGATTTCGCGCAGGTGTACCGTAGCGGATAATTTTGAGCGAGGCTAAATGAAGGGAGAACAATGTTGCCTGTATTAATTCCGTACAGCTCTTGATAGGGGGCCTGATCCGTGAGACGCAAGTTGTTAGTCTCCCTGAGTGGTGTATGCTTCGTGTACGCTCTGTCCACGGAAAGTGGAAGCATGCTGCGGGTTGGCCGATAGCAAACTGTTTCCAAGTTGATGAACTTGTCCAACCAACCTACGCTGTTATCTTCCAACCACGTAGACCAAAGATAAGGATCCGTCATCCGGTCGTGTTGACAAGGGCGGTGGAACTCGCGGTCACGATAGCTTAGGCCTGCCCTCTCGAATTCTGCAGCTTCTAGTCGTCGTGGCGCCGCATCTTTGTACACTATAGCCCTTACGAGTTTCGCTCGAGCAGGATCGTCAGCGATGCCTTTGAGTATGGCGATGCTCTTTAGATCTGGCGCAAAGCACACAGTGCGATAGAGATACTTCTTAAACCCCGGTTCGTTGCATCCTTTACAGGTCAAGAGGAAGCTCAGCACGTCGTTGTAGCTTTCGTTGTTGTTGCAAACAACATGGTCCAGTACAACGTCGAGAACCTCGTTGGGGAGTGGGAACTGGCTGCGCAATGGCGCTGACGGCGAGCAAGCTTCGTCATGAATTCGTAGGATATGCGGCTGAACATTGAGACGACCTTCTTCGTCAGTCAGCGTGATTGACCATGGCGCCAACAGGTTCATATTAGCGATGAGACGATTGCGCTTTTGGATACCAGATCAGCGTCAGCAACTGACACACACATATTTATACATGTATCTCGGTCTCGCGAAGGGCGCGTGAACCACATCGGGTGGTCGGACGGCATCACGTGTTGCTGAAGCGTTGTTGCAGCCCTTGTGAGCATCGACAAACGACGAGAAAGAATTAGTAGCGGAGGCCAAAGGTTTGTCGCTCTTTTCGGTGTTCTGGCATGCTCTAAGGAACAAATCCTGGTCTCTGGGGTATGATGTATGCATACTCCGCACGCGTAGCGGCATGGGTGTAGCCCGAATGTGGGGCCTCTCACAACTGTTAAAGTACGCCCGGGGCGCGTATCTGCAGCCCCGTCTGCTCGGCACACGTAGGCCATGAGCATAATACCGTATCACAATACTTGACGGTTGGTTGATTACCTGGACATCTTGGGGAGTGTCGCAAAAGAGCCAGTCGTTTGCGCGACCAATCTCATACGCACGATGGCAACGGAGTCGAGCACAAACGACTTTAAGCTTCGGCCTGCAAGATTCTCAGATCTTTCTTCGATAGCGACAGTATGGGCGGCGGCATTTTTTGACGATGAGATCATCGGCGAGCTCATGCATCCACACCGCAAGGACTACCCAGACGACGTATACTGGTTCTTGCTGCGCGGTATCCGAGAACGGTTTTGGGACTGGCGACATCGATTCCTGGTTGTGACAGACGATGAGAAGGTCGTTGGTGCCGCAGACTGGAGGAGGCTAGGAAAAGGCGGAGAGGGCATGGGTTTGGGGCGAACAGATCCACGTATGTCCATCAAAGTATTCCGCATAGCCTATGAGCGCGCAGCTGGCCCTATCTGACCTCTCTGTTCGCAGGTAATCTCATCGCGTCGGTCGTGAAGACATACCACTCCATGTCTCTAGCGCTCTTCCCCAATCGCGCGGCTGATCCTACGCGCACTTCCTTCCTCGACACCGCTGTCGCAAACTCTGAAAAGTACTGGACTGGCCATCGCACTGAGTGTTGGGACTTGCACGTCTGTGGTGTACACCCAGACTACCAAGGTAAAGGTGTTGGGAAGCTGTTGGCCACGTGGGGTGTTCGCGAGGCGCAGAAGGAAGGCGACGAGGTTGTGGCTAGTGTATTGTGTGGAGAAATGAATAGAAGATTTTATGCGAAGGCTGGTATGGGTGTTCAGGTTTCGGAACCGAAGGGCGATGCAGGCGGCATCGCGTTGTTCACGAGATAGATCGCGCCGGCGACGCGTGTCAGCCAATGAGCATTGCCGGAGTTGTGCCGGCGGCATGGCGTCTCCAGTGACGCGTCTGCGACTACCATCTCTTCTACCTCATCACGTAGCGCTTTCTATCATCTCTTTCGTCTCTTTCCCATCATCTCACGCCCCTGGTGAATCGATAAGGCACCACGCAGCACCTCAATGGAAGTGAGAAGGAATGACCGAAAATGCCGACCGCATGGGCCGGGACTGCCTGGCAGCAACACATATCTGCTGCCACCCGCCGTATTGGATGACTTTCAAACAATGATCTCCCTTCCCCCATCATCAATCACTCTTATGTCAGAATATTAAACATGAGATTCGCTATTACATTCGCTGCGGGCGTCGTGCTCCACGCTACTGTCTTCGCCAGGCATCGCGAATGGGACCGCCATGCAGCCAACATCCTCATCTCATCATGCGTCCTCTTCGCCGCTACAGTCATAGCATTTACTATTATCGGGAATGCCTCCTGGATCTCTTCTTTCGCTTCCATGGGCGTCATGACCGCGTCCTTCGTCAGCGGCCTTCTCAGCTCCATGACTGTGTATCGACTATTGTTTCACCCTCTCAGATCATTTCCAGGACCTATAGCTGCACGAATCACTAGCCTGTGGATCATCAAGCAAAACGTCCCTGATCTCGACTTATACGTCAAGATGCGCAGCTTGCATGATCGATATGGCGACTTTGTGCGAATAAGTAGGTTTGGAGAGCATTTAGACGAGTGCGTCGTTGACCTGGTCTAGGGCCACGCGAGATCTCGATCTGCCATCCTGATGCGATAGCGGACGTACATGGACCGAGGAGCAAGATCCTGAAAGGCGAATTCTACGATCAGACCCATCCATTTCATAGCCTCCAATTCATCCGCGATCCGAACCTCCATAAGGAACAGCGTCGGTACTGGGACAGAGCTTTCCATAGTCCAGGTCAGTGATCGTCGTTTTTGTTTGCTGCTAAGCAGTCAGAGTCGAGCATACACCTCCGTCTGTCCTGCCACTTCCAGTTTTATAGGATCAACGTCGCCAGCTAGCATGATGGAATGTTAGACTATCACAGCTAACAGCTGTAGCACTACGGGGATATGTGCCACGACTCATAAGACACTATCGAATCACTGTCAGTATATTTGCGAGTCATGCAGCATCACGAAACCCGATCGACGCCAGCAGTGCCTTCTTAGACCTATTCTTTGATGTCATATCGGACTTAACATTTGGTCAGTCCTTCAATACACAGAGCACGAAGCAACGAAGTCCGATCGTGACAGAGTTCCTCAGCAAGCAGAAAGTACTCGGCTTCGCCTTGCTGAACATGCCTCTGCTCCACCTCGCTAAAAACCTGCACATGTCCACGAGGAAGCAGAAGCCCTGGGAACGTTGGTATGATGAAGCATTGAAGGCCCGCAGTAAGGTAAGTCAGCCAAGCTCCGGTTGACTCATAATATTGATGCTCATGTGCGAAGAAAACCGTCTCGATGTCGGACATATACACATACTTGCCGCAATCTGCAAACTCCAACGGCAACACTCTTAGAGAGGCCAAGTTGGCTATCGTTGCTGGCGCTGATACAAACGCCATCACAATGTCGATCATTTGCTATCTACTGTGCCGCCATCCTGGGTACCAGGCGAAGCTCCACTATGAGTTGTCAGACTTACGTTCTCTTTTCCCTAACGACGATGATCTGATGAACAAACCTTGCTTGGCCGGCATCATCAACGAAGCGTTGAGATTGCATCCGCCCGTCCCCTCCGGTCTTCAGCGCGTAACACCCGCAGAAGGCGCAGTCATCGCCGGCCGACACATACCAGGCCATATGAATGTCACAACGCCGACGTACGCGCTACATCGAGGTAGTGCTCTCTCCCCCTTGTTGCAGCTTGAGCTGACCTTTCAGATTCCCGCGCGTTCGTTCGACCAAACGAGTTCATTCCCGAACGCTGGTACTCGCGTCCCGACCTCATCCTTCGCAGAGACGCATTCGTACCATTTGGACACGGCGCGTACAACTGTGCAGGCAAGCCCTTGGCTGTGTTACAGTTGCGCATGGTCCTTGCCATGATCTCTCGACGGTTTACCATGTCATTTGCTCCTGGCCAGGAAGCTCTGTGCCAGTACTTCATCGATCACCAAGCCGACTGCTTCACGCTCCACCTCGAGCCCCTTCCTTTGCTGTTCAAACGAAGAAACGTGTGAGTAATACCAAGCTAAATCCTGTATCGCGATACGGCTGGCACACGACCGCATGCTACACTGGTGAAGATGGAACATTGCTACTGCAACCTTCTGATAGGTCTACAACTTGATTTTTTGTTCTCCATAGTTGCACGCATTCACATGGATATTCACGAGCTCTCAAAACTGTGAGTGAAATGCAACTTGAGCGGCGACAGAAGCAGTCACTCAAATGACCCTGAATGACCAGTTGTGCCCCCTATGGTTCGCTTCCAACCCACACTCCGTTCGCTACCACTGAATTACAGCAGCCACTTTTCCTCCCGCTTTGACCTCAGCCCAAGTAGCTGGCATTATGGGCTTCATGAAGCAAGGCAGCCAGCGTCCCCTCGGCAGGCGCCGCACTCTGCACGACTTGCGAAGGGCAGCGCGCAGCCCCAAGCAACCTGAGAATTCCGACCAGACCCTTGTGCAAGCAACAGACGCCCCGCAGGCTCAAGACAGCACGTCACGACTCAAGAAACGTGCAAGCACCTTCGGCATCAAAAATGCGCTCACCAAACTACGCATCATCAAAAGCAGCGCAGTCCCCACGGAACCAATTTGGACCCAGTATGAGCTCGTCAAACGCATAGGCTCCGGTGGAAACGGCCTCGTAGATCTCTGCTTCGACACCTCAGCCGGCATCCTCGTCGCCGTAAAGACTCTGACCCTCCCAAATCCCGCCGCTCCTCTACCAGAAGCAACTATCCTACAAAACCTAGGCCGCCACGGCAACATCATCCGATACTACAACAGTGTCCTGAGTCCACCGCATCCTTCTCGTCTACAACTGATTTTCGAATACTGTCCCAGAGGCGACTTACTGGATTACCTGGACACCTTGGATGGTCCCATCCCCGAACTATTCCTTTGGCATGTGTTCAAGCATGTCGCTTGTGGTCTTGCGTTCCTGCACAGCCGCGGCATCGTACATGGCGATATCAAACCCGCCAACATCCTCCTCACCGCGGCGCGAGAAGGCGAGCGTTTCTCCCTACCCAAGATCGCAGACTTCGGCGCTGCGTCCTGTAACCCTTCACCAGAAATCCCACGAGGCCACATAGGTACACCGTCCTTCCAACCCCCCGAAGCAGACTCTCGCCACGGCCCCGAATCCGATATGTGGTCCTTGGGAAGCATGATGCACGAACTGGTACTGGGTCGTGTACCCATGCAGAAAGTGCGGGAGCTGGAGATCGATGCTGAGACTTGGTTTGGGGGGAGTGGACGGGAGATACCGGATGGTGTTGTTGCGCGTGGTCTCTATAAGGAGTTTTGTTACTACCAAGCTTGCCACGTTGTTGAACGCACACGCATCGATTGTCCGTCGGAGTATACGACGAAAGTGTACAGCACCCTGCTGAACCATTTCATGATGCGCGCGCTTGAACTCGACTGGGAGAAACGTATCACCGCCAGCCAACTGGATGACCTGTTGCCTAAGCTTGAAGCTATTGTGCAGGATCTGCATATCCTGGGCAAGCCTGATCTTCTCGAAGACCCCGAGGAACGAGGGGACACAGATGGTCGAGGGGACATGAATGGCCGAGAGGTCGTATGCGTCGCCGACTCCCAGATGCTCCGACAACTCTTTGAGAGGTTGGCACGGTGTGCGGATTGGGCGAGCCATCAGGAGATGCGGAGGAGAGGGATGCAGTTGTTGTTTGTTATGGAGGAAGAGGATCATTTTGCGGTTTTTAGGGCGCTGAGGGATGTAAGGGGGTTTTGGGGGATGGAGTGGTGATGTGGGATGGATGGGTAGCAAGGGGGAGACTTGTAGCATGGGTGGAGGGGAGGTGGTGGAAATCATCGCTATCTAGATCTTTTGTCCATCGTTTGTATGCAACAAGCCTAACTCCGAAGCTCGCCTGTTGAAACACGTTTGCATACGACTCTCTCGACGATGCTGTTGGGTCCAGGCATAACTAAATCGCGTTGATGAGCCATTGTTAGCTACACCACGTAGACCATCGAAGCAGCAAAGCAGCAAACCCTTCAAGACATCATTATCATTACCGCTAAACCCTAAAACCTCATACACATATTCTCCACCCCATTCTCCTCACCCCCTACAACCTCGCCGACTCCCTGACCTCCAACCCAGCCATAATCCCCCGACTAATATAATCACTAATCGCCATATTCGTGACCATGGGATTAACCCCACTCGCACTAGGAAACACACTCGCATCCGCAACGTAGAGGCCCTCAGTGCCCCAGACCTTGCCCTTGGGATCCACAACACCATCTCTCTCCTTTGCACTCATCCGACAAGTACCCATCTGATGCGCAGACACATACACAGTCTCGGGCGACGGCAGCCCCTTATGCCGAATCTCATCGAGCCAAGCCACAAACGCAGGGTCGTTGATGCCATCTCCAGACGATACCGCCGGGTCGCGGATAAACGGCCGCATGTTGGGTATAACCGTGAAAATTTCACTCGCACCTTCCACGTACTGTATCTTCGCCAGCGCAATAACGCCCTCGAGCACATGTCTCTTATCATAGTTACTCGTCTGATACGAGAACCTGCACCGTCCATCCACCGGATCCGGATACACACGCCCCGTATCCCTATCCCGCGCAATGCTAATATACCCAACCATGTGTTTCAGCTTCGCAGCATCAATCTTATACTGCATCGCAGACTTCCAGTCCACCCACATCAGACACGCCGAGGGAACCATGTTCGTAGCTTCGAGCTTGACGCCGTGGCCTGCGTTGTCCATGTTTTCGAACTCGGAGACGACGGACGTGAGGATGCCGCCTTCCCATGGTTTGATCTCTTCGGCGTGGTAGGCGCCGAGGAAGGTGACGGGGTGCAGGTAGAGGTTTCGTCCGATTTGAGGGTTTGTGAGGCCGGAGCGGAGGAGGAGGAGCGGGGATTGCATTGTGCCGCCGGAGACGACGACGCGTTTGGCTTTTAGAAGGACGCGGCGCGTGGTTAGGGGCGTGCTGGAGACGCCGCCTTGGGCGTCGCGTGAGGTCCAGGTGCCGAGCACGCCGGTTGCGACACGCTTGCCACTTTTATTCGAGAAGATGACTTTCTCAGCGTGGAAGCCTTCGATGAATTTCGCTCCTGCGCGGGCGGCGTCTGGGAGGAAAGATACAACCGGACCTTGCTTTTCGCAGGAGCCGCAGCCGAAGTTGCAGTAGCCGCAGTAGTGTTGCTGGCCGCCGGTGTTTTGAGGCACAGGCGCAGCGTTCCAGCCGAGTTTGCGGGCGCCTTCGAGCAGGATCTCGTTGTTGCGGTTTTGCTTGATGTTTTTGTCTGAGACGCCCATCCGGTCACAGACGCGATCGAGCGATTCTTGGAATTGGGCGGATGTGAAGAAGGGGAGGCCGCGGGCTGCCCATTCGCGGCGGACGTAGCCTTGGGTTTGGAGGGAGGCAGACCAGTTTACTGTTCCTCCGCCGCCGAGGGACTGGCCTGCTACCACACTCACTGAACTGTCATCGGATGTCAGGAAGGATCCGCTCATGAAGAGGTGGTGCCAGCCGTCTAGTTCGGCCATGGGGAAGTGGTCTGGCGTCCAGTGATATGCCTTTTCTACTATCAACACACGATGGCCGGCTTCAGCGAGGTTCTTCGCCGTCACGCCAGCACCACATCCACTACCCACAACTACCACATCTGTCTCAATAATCTCAGGCTCGTCACCTGGAGGTATCTGAATGAACTCGTAGTCAAATCCCTTCCCAGGTCTCATACCAACAGGCACACGTGGAGCACCTATTACGCGTCTCAGCGAAGGCGACGTCTTGATCCAAGCCTGCTTAGTGATAATCACCAACGAGCGGCGCAGTTGGCGAAGCGGTCCCAACCGCGCGGTAGCCCAGCCCTGGATAATCGACTCCCTTACATGAGCGGGTTGCTCGCTGATTGGCGTGAGATAGCCCGTCAAAGCCAGTGACCCCGCCCGCGTGTTGAGGACATTCAACACCATGCACAAGTCCTTTCTCTGGTTCTGCGGCATGTACATGGCGAAGACGCGCTGCAGCTCCGCTCGAAACGCCGGATCCTGACTCGCATAGTCGTCGAGATACTCCTTCACCGCCGTCTCCGCATCAGGGTCGTTTCCGGGCGCTAGAGCCCTCAGCTTGCTGACTGCAGTCGAGTAGTCGGTGTCGGTTGCGGCGAGTTCAGTCTGCGTCCTCGCCGTGGAGATGGGCTTGATTGCTGGGATGACCGCATCCGTGATAGCAAGTAGCGTCTTCCATTGTTGAGGCGTGAGCGGATCCTCAGCTGGGAGCGGAGGCAGCGGAGTAGCTTTCGGCGAAACGGGCTCAGAAGGGAGTGTTGTTGACATTTTGCCACGTATAGTTTGGTGTTCAGGGATAGCCTGGATGTCGCGCGTGGACCATCAAAGGGTCTTGAAGGTGGAGCTGTCGGGCATGCTAAGGACGCAGGCGTCGTTTTGTTTTAGTTTCCAGCCATGTCCACTGCGAGAGATGAAGCAACTTCCCCCGCGCCACATGCCGTGCCATTGTTGACGTCTGCTAGCCCGTGGCGGTTCGTGCCTCGGTACAGAAAACAAAGTTCATCGATGTGTCCCGGCGAAGGGTTGCCAAGGCTGCCGTTGCTCGTGGATGTCGGAAGCACAGATTCGCCGGAGCCGCCATTGGACGTCTTTGAAGGGCTATGGAGGACGTCAGGATAGGCTAAATCCTGTGATGTCTTGCATTGATCTGCGCGGCAGATCTCAGTCGTAGTCATGTTAGCTGTCGATGCGTGTGGGCCGTTGTGCGCCTCAGCGTCGTAGACTGCGGATCTCTCATCAATGCATTGGAAGAGCGTGTCCATGTGATCCGAAGTTCTGGCGGTATCGTGAGGTTGCAGTGGCCGGCGGCGCGGTGTTAGTGAGGCGAATCCCCGACGATGGAGGGTGGGTCGGCTCGGTCTTTGAACCAGGATGAGACGGGCGCTTCTTCATCTCGGCGAATCTGGCCGGCGTCTCCAAGACTCCAACGGAGGGAGTCGCTTATCTCTGGATCTAGCAGGAGTACTCCAACTACGCTTTCGCGCCTTGTGCAGTTGGACTGCCTTGTTTGCTCAAGTCACAACATAAGGCTCGTAACTCAAGACATTGGCCGGCCAAACTTGCATCTCTTGCGCGTACTCCCCCTGCGCATGGTGTAGTCAAAAGAAACTACCGACACCCGTGCAATCTTAGAAGCTCGAGCGAACTTCGTGCGAGGCAAATCCCACCAAGGATGATTGCGCAACGTCCCCACGAATCCAATAATCCGGTTGAATCCATCCGGCAGGATCTGGTCGGTGCGCCTCAGGAACATGCAGGGGACCGACTAGGAAGCCGTCTGCTTCTAGGCGAGATGAGGTTTCCACAGGGTTACTGTCTGTCAAGACACTTGTTCAATGGTTCTCTGCGAGTGATCTTGGTGGGAGCATTTGCGCTTCAGACTAATTAGCTCTTAGTCTAAGATCTTGACTTCAGCCTTGGAGCTGAGATTAGTTCAACGGCTACAGGATTAGGTGCTCAGTCTCGCCATTTTCACATCGCGTTCAACAGCTGCTACACAGCACGCTACAAGACTTCCAGGCTCCTTCTGCTCTTCCAGGAACGTCTACCTCAAACTGCTCAAGGTATCATTGGATCCTGGCCAACTTAGCGCGTATATGCGCTTCACTTCGTGCTTTACATTCCGCAAGCTCGCTCTGGGGACGGGGTTTGTTTTCTTCTTTCCAACGCTGAATCTGCTCATCAAGGCTCGCCAGCTGCTCATCCAGCTGAGCGATCTTAGCAGTAAGGTTGTTAATCTTATTCGTGCAGATGATCTCCTTGTCCCCCTTCTCCATATCGAAGCTATGCATTGTCTCTTGATTGAGCTCAGAGAGCTCTTGTATTGTGGCCTTGAGGTCATCCTCGTACTTGGCCTTGAGTCGTTTGCTTATATGCGCGTCCCCTTGCAAAGACAAAATATACTGCCCAGACATGTCTGGGCAGGGCATGGCGAAGGTATTGCGATGCGAGATGGTGGGTGGTGGGTGTAGCTTTGGGAAGTTAAAGATTGTATGGTTGGTGGACATGGGTGAGACGCTGGGTGGCTGTGACGTAGGGACCCAAACACTCCAACAATCACATGGAAGTCATTTTTCAGCTTCACCGTCACTTTTACTTCGGTGCAAGAGATGCCAAGACCACAAGACTTCGAGACGACGAATAGTGATGAATAGCTGATGGAAAGATGCATTCGCATTCGTGACTTCATCCACGGACGTCTCTAACTGTAAATGTGACGAGGACTTACCATGCAATTACACTCGGCATTACCAGGACTATAATCAGAGTTCAGTCACCAGAAACTTTGTTCAGGCTCCTCGTGGTTCTCTCAGAAAAGTTGCGGATACGGTGGGGAGTCTTCGGATGTCAGCGTCGCAAGGTTTATTTGGTACGACGATGTCAACGGGGGGATCGCTGCAACGCCACGCAGCACTGCTTCACGATGCACGCACGGTCACAACACCAATACGAACAACGACACTACCGCTACCCTTAAGCGGGTACGATCTCATTAAGCGGTCCCACATCAGCCAAAGATCGTGAGCTCTGGCCGAATAGCCTCAATTCCACTTGGAGTGGAGCATAATATATTGGATAATTGCGTCGCGCGCGCCTTGCTCGCGTGGCTACAGAGTGGATGAGGTGCATTGAATTGAATACAGTAGTGTGGCCAAATGCCCCGCCAGTTGTTGCAAGCTGGCCGTACTTGAGCGGGATGGTAGGTGTGTGGCGCCTCTCGCGGCATACTTGCCTAGTCGTTTAGCTGTGATGTCAAGGTATGTCTATCATGTCTATCAACGTTCATCACCGCCTGTTCTTGCGTTTGCGCAGGGTGTCGCAATCAAGCTATGGGGTGAGTGCTATGTCATCACTGTACGGGCGCCCCAGGAAATGAGTTCACGCTTGACGCAGCAGTTCCGTCCTCGGAGAAGGTTGAGGCGTTGCTTTTCTTTTAGAAAGGGTGTGATTGGTTAGAGATAAGGGACGCCCAAACGGGCACAGTGGGGCCCAACGGCTGGCCGCCTCGAGAAGAGGCGCAACGGTCGTGGTGAAGGAATGAGGGTTGCGCTGGGGAAGGGGAAAATGGGGCGTTCGCGTAGGACATAGAGCCTGATCTCAGCCTAGGACTTGTAGTTATCGAGTCTTTTCGAGCAGAGTGGGAGGGCAGTGTGAAGATAGCGAGCTCGATGCGACGGCCATGTTACAATTAGAATCTTCCAAATGGCCGGTCGTAGCCCGATGATACCCTGTCGTTCGGTCGGTCGCCAAGGGTGCAGGCATCCCCCTTCGGGCATGGCCGCCCATCCGTCAGTTCGCTGCTGGGAAGAGGTCGCTGGAGCAGCTGGCGGGCGACGACTTAATTCATCCTGTCCCCAGAGCCTCACCCCAGGTCTCCTCCGCACTCACGCGACACCGCTGTTTCTTATCTACACCTATATCCGCCTCACTCGACGCATATCACATATACGACCACTACCACGAACTACGCTTATATTCACTATCATGTCCTGCTAAACTCGGTCGACTGTTGGCCCCGGCGTCTGTTGTATCACCGCCCTCGTCTCTTATCGCCTGCACGTCAGCTACCAATTGACACGCACCCTCACCACCAACACGTCCCCAACCGTCCCCAAGGAGCCGCACGCGTCCTGCTGGCCTGTCAGCGTCGTCTGCACCCGTCGCACCACTGCAGAGCCACTGATAGCCTCCCGCTCCCAAAGGGCTGTATCAGAACCTCCAGCGCACCAATACCAGCGCAGCACTTCACCGCCTGCACCACGTATCATACGTCTCTCGCGACTTCTCGCCAACCTCAACCTCATTCCGTCATCGCCAACCTCAACTCCTCCCGTCACCATGGCCACGACCTTCTCAACCGCGACTGCGATCCCGCAACACGCACCCTACCAGCACCACGCCTACCGAAAGAGCACCCACTCGCAGTACTCACCCACACACTCCGGCGTCAACACGCCCGCCAACGTCTCGCCCACGTCGCCGCGCACCACACACCTGCCCCTCGCCCGCCACCAGGGCATCTACCAGCCGCGCACCGCCATCGGCATCCCCGCGGCGCTGCGCAAGACGGAGAAGCCCAGCAGCAAGTCGCCGCCCAAGGTCGACTCGGGCGTGTCGTCCCCGAACCAGGGCTGGTCGGCTGGCACGTACGGGTGGGTCGCTAACGAGGGCAGCGCGACGCCCGTCTCGCAGATTGGCAATGAAGACATGCAGAGCCTCTACAACGCCGAACCACTGTCGCCCGTCGCGGGGCCAATCACACGCAACCACTGGCAGGTATGTATTCGCGCCTTTCCTACTTGTCCGCTATGCCGCTGCTAGCCCGTCCGTGCTTCCCTGTCGCGTGCTCACCTGGGCTGCGAGGGGACCGTCTTACGTACATGGTCCGGTCCCACTGCCTAGCGCGCGTTGGTCTGGCCTCCCGCTGTCTGCAGAGCCGACATGCCGAGCCCTCCAATTCAGCTCAACAAGACGCCTGGGGGGGCAAACTCGGCGGCCAAGGTCGATCATGTTGTGCATGTCGCCTTGCCATGGCCTTCGGATAATTTCCATCGTCTGCCGGCTGTCGAGACATGCACACGTCGTCCCCCACGCTAGACCTATACCTAGACTTTTACCCGATGCAGGGCTGGAGTCCGGGCTGTTCGGGCTAGCGACACCTGTCCACTTGTCCACAATTCAGAGTTGCCGTTGCGTCCAGAATCCACACTAACTCGTCCCTAGGCCGACGGTTCCACATCGGTGTGTTCGGCATCCAGCTGCCAGGAGCCCTTTGGCTTCTTCCAGCGGCGCCACCACTGCCGCAAGTGCGGCGGCATCTTCTGCTGGCAGCACTCGCGCAACAACGTGCGTCTCGACGAGCTCGCCCGCTTCCACCCTGAAGGCCACTGGCACCGTGCCTGCGACCGCTGCCACAGCTCCTTCCGTGAGTGGGAGCACCTCCGCTCCAGCCGCACCAACAGCGAGAGCTCCGACAGCAGCAACAGCAACAGCCCCGCTCCCGCAAAGTCCATCGAGACTCCTGCGCCCGCTAAGCGTCCTGAGAACACGCGCGTAGGCAGCTTGGCCCAGAGCTTCCAGGGCACATGGAACTGGAGCACTTTCTAAACTTGGGCGTTTGCTTGTCATCGCTCGCCCGCAGCTTCCTTCATATCTTCATGACACCTGGACGGACGGATCTTCCTGCTCCTGGCGTACTCTCTTTTGATGATATCCGGAGGGCCCAGTATTGTCGTAACGGCACTGGTCCCATTCCACCTTTTCACTTGCTTCGACACGACACGAAGCCTTTCTGCATCTGCATCCACTAAACTGCATAATACCGGCGTCCTCTCTTTGCTTTTCCAACATGGCGTCTTACCAATCAACGGGGTGGTCTGCGTGTGTTTTGTCTCTTGTCCTTGCGATTCAGCGTTTTCCTTCGACAACTTTAGAGAGTGCTTTTCTCTCTCTTGATCTCTCTCGACGGGTCTTCCTTTGTGGAGTCGACAGAGATGTTACTGTGTTTTACGGCCGACGAAGATATCCAGAATAATGATTGTTGGAGATGGTCTTTCTTTCGATGAGACTCCAGGTCATGGCGGTACGCGGTGATGTGCGACGGACGCACGTCTGTTCGAGAAGCCGTGCGTCCATCGCACATCACTGCGTATCGTCATGACCCGGACGGCTCTGGGCGGTTGGCTGATGGTTGTTCGGCTGGGTTGTATGTGTTTTATCATGTGGTATGATATGCGAGCAAGATGGTGGTTGTAGTTTGTTGAGATGAGATGAAATCATATTGGTATATTCTGAAAACCTCCGAGTTTGTGAGTAGATGAGTGAGGTGGTGCGCATGTGCATGTATATGTAGTAAGCGTGGTGAGTGTGCTTTGGTCTTCTGTGCGTGTATGTGTGTCGATAAAGTGGTGCGCATGTGCTCGTACATGTAGTAGGCGTGGCGGGTGTGTTGTGATGTGGTACCCTGATGGCGTGATGTCGGTAAGGGTTTGGTCGGGCGAGGCTAAGGGCAGGTGTTTGATGCATGTGGATGCCGCTTGTGGGTAATGTACCATAGTATTGGAACTGTTTGGCAGTGAACCCAGTAATCGAGAACTATAGACGATGTTTGCGCGTGTGTTATATGTTAGCATCTACCTTGCAAGGTATCGAGCATGGATGAAGCCGTAGAAACATCTCCACCCACCAACCTACCCCAGCATCAAGAACCCCAAACACGAATACGAAAACAATAAGACGAGAACAATGGTACATAATTAAAGAGAGAGGAACGACATTCCATACCACAAACATAGTCCATGACTCCTCCCCGTGCTTCGTTCGCAAGATGGTGCCATGCGGAGATACCCCGCACTCCGATTGGTCAGATGCAGTGGAGTGCTGATGGCGTTTTTTTGCTGGACGAGCACGACGACGTTTACTGCACGAGTCATCGAGGGATCTGGTGAGATACGCGAGACTGCTTTGTTTATCTCTTGGTTTATGCGCTTGTCCTAGTCTTACTCGAACTCTGCCGGGATTTACGGGTTTGTGACTCTACTGCACTCCAGGGTTCGCTACGCTCGCTACACCCGCCGACCGACAAGATCTCGACCGACACGAACTAGCTGAACGAATCTCGCTGCGCTCGATCTCACTTCGTTCGACGTCCGTCGCCATACGTCCTTCTCTTCTCCAAGTGTTTGGGGGCGCCGTCGCCCCCAGGTTAGCAAGAGGAATTCCGAATCGATACTGCGCGAAGATGGCGACAATGGCTCAGACGACGGTGCAGGGGAATGGGGAGGGGGCGGGGACATTGCACAACACTGGGAATGGAATAGCGCAAGAAACTGGAAGCAGTAATGGGGCGGCGCAGTCGAACGGGAAGAGGAGGAAGCTACATGGGCGCGCATTCTATGAGAGTATCGGCAGTCCAAAGCTCATCCTTGCGCCCATGGTGGAACAGTCAGAGTTCGTATGTCTCTTCATTCCATACGACTCTGCACAGAGCCGATGGCTAACCTCATTGTCTGCAGGCATGGCGACTACTCTCGCGCTCATTCCTCCCCGAATCTCAGCAAAAAGACCTCCTAGCATACACCCCAATGTTCCACTCGAAGATGTTCGGCGAAAAGAGCAACTACCGCGATGCGCACTTCCAACCCCTCAAATCGACTATCCCCTCCCCCAGCGACGAATACCACCTCTCACAACTACCCGAGTCGGACAGACATCTCGACGGCAACCCAGCGTTCGACAGACCCCTCACCGTACAATTCTGCTCAAACGACCCCGAGGACTTTCTGCGCGCGGCGAAACACGTTGCGCCCTTTTGCGATGCGGTTGATCTGAATCTGGGATGTCCACAAGGAATCGCGAAGAGAGGGAAATACGGCGCATTCCTGCAGGAAGACTGGGATCTGATATCGAGGATGATACGCAAACTACACGAGGAACTGGATGTCCCAGTCACAGCGAAGATGCGTGTCCTTGAGACACCGGAGAAAACTCTCGCATATGCAAAAACACTATTAGACGCTGGCGCAAGCATCATCACAGTGCACGGCCGCCGTCGAGAACAAAAAGGTCACAACACCGGCCTCGCAGACTGGAAGATGATCCGCCACCTACGGGAGAACCTTCCTAGAGAAACCGTCATATTCGCCAACGGCAACATACTCCAACACGAAGACATCGCCGCGTGTCTGGAAGCCACAGGCGCAGACGGCGTCATGAGCGCAGAAGGAAACCTGTACGACCCTACTATCTTCGCCGCGCCACCGCCACCCGGCCAGGAAGGACGGGAGTACTGGCGCGGTCGCGATGGTAAGGGTGGATACAGGATGGACGCAGTAATGAGACGGTACATGGACATCATCCATAAATACGCACTCGGTCAAGACCCGCCACAACGGAAACCGCTCTGGATGCCCGGCGATCCTGAGACCGAAGACCCATCAAAACAACCGGAAGAAACAGCAGAAACAGCCCATTCAAACTCGAACACAGACGCAGCAGAAAACGGCAAACGCCCCGCCTCTCAAGGCGAAAGCCCGCCAAAGAAGAAACAAAAACCCTTGTCTAAAGCCGCAAAGAAGAAGGAGGCTAGCAACCCCAATCTCACAGCCATGCAAGCCCATCTCTTTCACCTATTGCGTCCGCTTGTGTCTCAACACCACAACGTACGCGACGCGCTTGCACGATCACGGACGGGCGATATTGAGGCGTTTGAGAATGTGTTGAGGCTTGTTGAGGAGGCGGTTAAGGAGGGGATTATGGGGTATGAGGAGGAGCACGCTAACGACGCTGTCACAGGAGCCCAAGATGTGAAGGAAGAGGGGAAGGTGGATGGCAAGGACGCAAAAGAGGAGGAGCAGGTGGAATTAGATCCGTATGAGAGTTCTCTTGCGACTGTTGCAAGGGTTAAGAGGCCGTATTGGGTGTGTCAGCCGTATGTTAGACCACTGCCGAAGGAGGCGTTGGAGAAGGGGAGTATGACTGTTAGTAAGAAGGAGAGGAAGAGGGCGGAGGAGGAGATAGAGAGGAGGAAGAAAGAGGAGGGGTTGGAGAAGAGTGTGGGGTTGGTGCCTGGGGGGCGGGTTGAGGAGAAGGTTGTTAGTGAGGAGGGTGGAGACAAGAATGGGGAGGGAGAGAAGGAGGTTGTGGAGGAGCCGCGGGATGGGATGGTGTGCGGCTAAGAGAGCAAGAAAGCATCCAATATTAACACCAGTAATCATCCCCCTCGAAACATGGAATGACGCGTTCCAAACTCCACTGCATGATCAGCCATGTGTCGATGATGTGATCTTGAGAAGCGGAGACTCAAGGCTGAACGGTCTTTAAGACGAATATGCAAGTATGCTGGCACAACAAACGAAGATATCGCATGGCTTGCAGTCGGGGTAAGAGATGTAGACAGTAGAGATACAGGTTAATACTATCATAATTCTTCTATATCTCGATGCGACAATGTCGATTGCTATATTGTGGTTGGGCGCTGTCACCATACACGAGATCTTGAGGTACCCATCATCAGCTCCTTCATCTGTCTTTGTAACACGTGCATCCAATGCCATGGGGTTGTGGTAGCACATAGTGTAATCGCCTCTTGTTTGATGTCAATGGCGGAAGGGGAAGTATGCGCAACACTCAGGATAAGAGGTCATCGGCGTGGCTGTGACCGTGACTGCGACAGGGCTCGTGGCTGTGGCTGTGGTTGTATCCCGCCTCTACTCCTGTTCCTAGCACCTGATGCTGGGACGGGCGCGCTACGTCGAACAGTAACTCGATCGATGTCAGTACATCAGTCCGCGCGAATGCAGGATGTCCAAGGGCGTACCTCGATGGATGGTCAAACACCATACAGCATGCACACTCGCAAAGATGATCATAGCAAGAAGCTGAAGGAGTGCCAAGACGTCTGATCTCGTCCACATAGCTAGGATGTTGGCTGCTGTTCCCGTGCGGCGTGGTAAGGGGTGTGGGGGCGGAAACGATAGGTTGTGATCCTTCGGGGGTCGTTCTGTCCTTTACTACATTGCGGGCTTTTGTGTTCTTATCTACCTGGGTATGAACATGTTTGCCCGGGAAGAAGGCACGAAGGCTGTGCGCGGCGACATCGCGAGGTTTAGGGGCTCAATTCCTTTGCGCATCCGTATGCGGTTGCGGAACGATGAGCATCCTCGCATGTTGATGGTGCTAGTCTCTTTCGTGCTGCGGAACTGCAGAGTGCTGGTAATGATATCGCGCTAGTGAGTGCCCGAAACAGCGCTAAGACTGTTCTGGCTGCGGAAGCATGGCCTGAGCGTGAAGGATGGCGTAGTCTAGTCTGCTTTGGGATGCGGAAGCTGTTACCGACGTCCCTCAGCCTCTGTCACTCAGGCTTGGCCCTTGATGTCTGCCTGTCTCTCAACAGCCCTGGTTCTCGCCGTGTCAGTGTATAAACAATGCTTCTGCATTCTATCAACATGTCGCCTCCCAACCCACCGACTCAATCATTTGAGGGCTTTCATACAGTTGCGCACCTCTCTACTAGCACGGTGCCTCATCAGCATCTCGCTCCTCCGCCCTTGGGGTCTCCGAAGCTTCTTTCGAAAGACCCCAGCGTCTATCCGCATCTCATCAAGTAGGCATCCAAGTGAACGTCATGGATTATCGCGAATTCGCGGCCCAACAAGGCGAGGAAGTCACGACCAGACGAAACCATCGACCAGTCAATTCATCGCTCTTTACAGTCGCTCAAGAAGATGTTGCATACCCTCTTCCGCATTTGAACGATCCCCGGATGCTTAGCGATCTATCGACGAGCATGAACCTACAGTACATACCTCAGCCAACGTCGATAGTACTATTTCAGTCCAATTAGCTGTTAGCAGAGCCCGCGGGACTCGTTCAAGCTTAGAAGACACAACTACCCGAAGACACTCTGCTTCAGCTTGCTAAGGCGAAGTGGCAGTATAAGGCAGCACGCTACCATATTTTAGAGAAGGCGCAAGCATTTCCTACAAATTCACACGTACGAGAGGCCACGGCTGGGTATCCATATACTGTAACAGGTGAGGCCGCAACAGGCTCTACTAGAGCCTACTATTCCTCTAGTATGCCAGCGTACCCACCTCAGATACCCAGTCATAGCTTTATCCCAAGCGATAGTAGCAGTACGTACGGGTTCGACGTCTACTCATAGCCTGGACAACAACTTACACTAACCGTCATCTATCCAAACACCCCTCACGATCATATCCAGGGCTTCGGCCCGCAGGGTAATACATTTTCCGACGCTCAAGACCTCCATTACAATGCCGTAGGTAACGCAGAATATAGCCAGCGACCTCCTATTAATCCGATAGCACTCGCGACATCGCATTACAACACGGGTCCTTCTTTGTTAAGCACATGTAATCTTAGAAGTAATACCTCTTCCCTTATAACGCTTACTCAATATTATTACCTATAACCAGGTCTCCCGCTATAAGCTATTAGACCGGTACCTGCTCCTGCAAATCAACTGCCAGCATACATAGCCAACAACATCGAGCACGGTGCGATAGGTCCTCTCGCTGCAAACCCCTCTTAGAACGAGGATTTAACTCTACCTGCTGCTTGTTCGTTCGCTACAGCAATACATAAGTTACCGCCGGTCGCAGAGACCAGTCTTAATACAACAGAAACTCTCGATATAACAGGCGCTACCGGCCTACTCGTCCCTACTAGAGCTATTAGAGGAAAGCCGAAGTGCGGCAAGAGAACACAAAGCGTGGCGGCTAGCCCCTACCATAAGAAGACGGGACCTAGCCGCGAAATGGAGAATGTCTCTTTCTACACAGACCCAGAAGCACATAGCCAGCAACAAAAGAATTAGCTAAAGGTCTATAGTCAGCGTACAGACAAGAGTAAATCGTTATGCTTTAGATATCGCTGTAGCAAACGCAAGGTATGTAACTTCTTTACAACTTTATGTTTAACATCTTGCTAACTCTATTCGAAGTGCATAATCTTAACCAGAGACGCCTGCTAAGAATGCCAAAAAATCCTAGAGAAGCACTACAATCGCACGGTTCTTCCAAAGTTCACGTGTAATGTCCGAACGAAGTTCTCTAAAATGTCCATCTTCACCGACATATCACCAACAGAGATGTCTGCGGCCGAGGCTCTGCTCAGAATACGATCTAGTCTTTCTCAACCATTGAAAATTAATTAGGACGATGATTTCCCGCCTATAACAATCGAGGATTCTGCATCTACAGACCTCGGGGTCGTAACGCACGTTGTCGTTAGACTTATAAGTTGCATTCGCAGCTTTCTAGACATTCTTAAGCCGTCACATATCAGACAGTTTATTCCACTAACGTCTCATAAGAGAATCTTCATAAGTTACTCTTTCAGCATAGTTAGATAGAAAAAAGCAATCTGCTTCTTTTGGCCGGATTTGAAAGACGTACTAGACTTTCATAACACGTTCCATCGCTATAGTTACTACCTTTGTTTCCGAACACTTGATAGGCTAATCTCCTCCAGGAAGTATAAGGCTGCAGCCTTGTTACTAAACTTCTTATATAAAGGGATTTCCTCTATAGAAGACCCTATCATAATAGAAGTACCTGCGAAAGAACATTTATTGTTGTCTATCACGCATTATATATTACACGTATATCGCGTTATCGCTACAAGAATGCCGGCGACAGCGCGGTACGTATACAGCTTTCCGGAGACAGCTAAGTTATTCCCCGAGAGTTGCGGAGTCTTGCCAAACGAACTTTAGGTAGGCACTACAACACGCGATCTATTGCACCTGCATAAGGACTTATCAGATACATTATCAAGACTAAGAACAACGGGTAGCGTTAGCAAGAAGGTCTTGCTAGGCTAGAAACGACCTCTCGTGCTAGACGCGTACTTGCCCGCAAATTTCTTGGCCCTCTTTAGAATAAGCACAGAATCTGTAGACGCCGCTCACGCGGAGTTTAATAAAATAATAAAGTATAGAGAGACAATACTCCCTAATATAGCGCTTGATCTGTCTCTATTAACTTTGTCCATCTCGCTCAAAGCATTCTTTAATCAAGCAAATATTGCAGAATCTCCAACAATACCTGCAGACGAAATCTGTAGTTGTGTTGTTTTAGTCTTAGTCCACATATAGGAGTTCTTAAGAGACTGTTATCTTCGGGCTTTTATAATAGAGCCTTCAGATCTAGAGAACTGCGAGCTAGACATGCGTTATATTTAGAAATGTAGGATGATAGGTGCGCTCGCTAGCGGCGACAAGAGTGATGTACACGAATTTGCGAGGGGAGCGATAACCAGATGTGCGGAATCAGCCGCATTAGAAGTCGAAAACACGTACATAGAGAAAACAAAAGATGATAAATATGCCAAGGGCCAGTGATTGTAGAGACGACGGCCTGCTATCCGCAAACCTCTTCTGCATCGTTTGTCTAGACTAACTTTCTATGTCTTACAGCTAGTTCTGCGCTAAACTTACGATATTGCATTTTCAGCGAAAGTACTCACCGATGTACATCATTTGTCCCAAACGTTACCATACTCTGTTATGTCAGTCAGAGCTGCAAAGATGTGGTGCAAGGGGGCGGCTAAAACATCAAGAGCCCCCTAGGTTGGGTAGTTTGACCTTGCTTTGCAGGGCTTTAAAACGAAAATACCTGGGTATCTAGGAACGTGTTTATGTCAATAGCTGGCGCGTAGATTATAAAGCAGACGTGCAATATATCGCATTGGCGATGATTGTGAATAGCTCGATCTGGCGCTTCAGCTTTCGTGGGCTTAGCAGGGTACCAAAGAGCTTCGCTTACGACTCTCTGACAAGTCCGGCGATGCTTCGTTGTCTTAAGTGATCCGGAATGCTGACAGAGACAGGACTGGGGAGTCATTGAGAGCAATAAACATGCACGCCCTTCAAGGCAAAGTTTGACCTCACCACAGCAGTGCATGAGTCACGATAGCCACGTTAGTGCGAAAAACGCTCACTCCGTCACTCCGTCACTCCGTTTCAATTGTAGTATACAACCTGCTGGTGTTGTGTCAAAAACTTTCTAAAGGGCGTGCATGTATGATCTGATCAGTAATCCTAAGGCAGCATGGTATGCATTATTCGAGCCTGGCGGGTTCTATCGGCTCCCTTGCGCCTCCTCTTGTCAGCCTTGCGTACACGCACATGGCCATGGCAGTCTGCCATCGATGGAGGGAACGCGCAATACCGGAAACTCTATCATGCTCAGCTATAGCGAATAGCTTGAGCTGACATGTGAAACAGACGCAGGTAAGGCACCAGACGATCTCAGGGCAGCGATAGTGGCAGCCCGATGTGTAGCGCGCGACGTGATTGGTCGTCGGACCCCATATGCCGTGTAGTCCGTGCGGTCCGGGCAAGGGTTCAAGCTAGTGACATCACTTTCTCAACATCAGTGGGGGATGGCCTCGAGACGTCACTCGCCCGCGCACCTCGACTGCGCGCGATCTCCAGCTGTTCTGCCGCTATGAGTATAGAGCCAGTCTTAGGACCCTGAGCGCTTGAAACTGCGGGTCCCAAAACAACGTGTTGCATGCTACCGTAGAGTTTGTCGGTGTGCCCTCTTTATAGGGCGCATCGCGCCTTCCCAAAGCAGGGTTTGCCTGAATTGCGCCAATTCAAGACGACGACTGCCACGCAATTTCCCTCATCACTGCCACCGAGCGCACCATTATAGTCCTCTCTTCCCACATCAACCGCACCTTCACCACCACACCGACCTCACCACATGCGCAACTAAACAGCGACCGCATCCCCGCCATGACCAGCGTACTAAAAGGCGGCTTCGGCTCGCCCAACGGTGCGCCATTAATCGCGACCAACTCAGGCACCGAGTTCGTCAACACCGTGTGCCCACTCAAGAGCGCCCTCGATGGCTACGACAACACGCTCCCCTGCAGCCAGCAGAAGATCCACGTCCCGCAGAACTTCTGCGACGCCATGGCCATCCGCGAGGAAGTCTACGGCGAGCAGGGCGTCCCCCTCGAAGCCGAGTTCGACGAAGACGATGCCCGCAGCTGGCACTGGGTCGCTTATGCTTCCGTCGCCACACACTCAACCCACCCTCCCAAGACACTGCGCCGCTCCGACTCTGGCAACACTCCAGCTGATGACGCTCGCCGCGCCTCAGCCACCGCCACCCGCGTCCCCGTCGCGACGATTCGCCTGATACCCCCGCCCCACGGCCCGAACAAGTACGTCGAGGACGACAAGACGGACAAGCATGCCGATGCAGATCCACCCGGTGAGGAGCAGGAGAGTAAGCACCCGCCTGAGCCATACATCAAGCTCGGCAGGCTGGCAGTACTAGCGCCCTACCGCAGTCTCGGCCTCGCGAAGCTGCTCATCAACGCCGCCCTTGACTACGCGGGGTCAAATCCTGATCTCATCTACCGGCCTCCCTCTCCCACAGCACTGGAGATGGCGCAGATACTGGGTAACAACAAGGAGCGGGAGATTACCTGGCAGGGCTTGGTCATGATCCATGCCCAAGCCAACCTGCAGAGCATGTGGGAGAAGCACGGCTTCCATGAAGAGTTGAAGAACGATGATGGCGACGTCGAAATACCAGCAGAACCCCACTGGATCGAAGAAGGCATCGAGCATGTTGGCATGTGGAAGAGGTTGCCGATTGAGAAGAGGAAGAGGTTGTCGCTTTCTTCCCTGGAGTCGGGGTCTTGAAAAGTTTTGGTTTTGTTTCTGGTTTACTTACACATGTTTGATAGGTTCTGGCGTGGAGATGTCCCAGTTCCAAGGATCTATGTCAGGCCATGACCTTCGCATTTGCGATCTACAGGTCATGCTGTTCACGCTCATTTTACGTACGGAGGATTCAACATTGCTTATACCCCACACTGCACGATTACGACGATACGGCCGGATTTCAACATTATCTGTTTTTTGCGAATAGAAGAGGATGAAGAGGAAAGACATAGAGGCGTCATGGTACATGGCTATAGACTAGTAACGATCCTTCTACTTCTCACATTTCATCCACGTACCCATTTCCAAGAGTCCTGCGTCGTACTCTCTTGTTTTTCCATCCCATTTCTGTTCCTTAGCGAACTTTCACGTCTAGTAATGCGTCTTGGTATTCCTTCACTAGTGCACATCCGGAGAAGCGAACTCGGGTCCTACGCAGTCCCTGTTGGTATGCGAAACACAATACATATCGGCAACTTTTTGCCGTGCGGGTACTACTCGGCTGGTGACCAAGAAGAAGATGCAGACGAAGGCTCATCCCATCAGTGCGACCACGCACCGACCACACATCGGCCTCGTCACATTCACAGAACGTGGGCACAGTGGTACAAACGGCACACTAACATAGTTCCCGCTGTCAGGAACCTTTCACGTAATGTTTGCACTAGATCAAGTCGTAATCCGGTACCTCGCATCCCGGGGTGGTGGAGGTCTCTTCCCTCTACTTCCGTACATGTGCGTATCTGTTCGCCTACCCTACACTGCCGGCCTTATTATATTTATGGAACGTGGGCACAGTTATCAAACGACACACTAAAGTTCTTCCCGCTCTTGAAACCTTTCACTCAAAGGTTCCACTAGATCACGTCGCAAACAGAGCAATTCGGTACCTTGCATCGTTCCCGTCTCCTCCCTTTTCTACCACGTCACAACGGAAACCCGCTGCTGCTCCACTGCTTCACCAATATCGCTTTGCGCTACACTCGGTTCAATGTCTGAAGACATCCTCGCCAAACCCGCCTTCAAGGCTCGCCTCCTCAAGCTCCTCCGCCTATGCACTCGACCCGTCGTCATGCTTCCGTTTCTGGGGACTATCGGCCTCGTCCTCGTCATCACACTGACTACGCTTTTACCGAAAACTGTCCACTCCATCGAGATCCCCGGCGCAGACAACAACCACAACTACCTCGTCGCCGTCTCCCAATTCCCTTTAACAGATTCCACAAAAAAGGATCCTTACCGCCCGGATCAAGACCGCAGGATCATGGTTAGCTTATACATGCCTGTACCCCGGAAACAGTGTTCTGCGATGGGCACGCAGGAGTATATGCCAGCGGGAACCGCGAAGATTGCGAACGAGCAGTTTGTTGAAGGGAATGAGCGGGATGCAGGTGTTTTCGAAACGATGACGTACGAGTCTTGCGTTGGTAGTAGTATTAGTGGTGGGGGCGGCGGCGACGTCAGTAAGGTGTCTGTTGTGGTACTGGAACCACACGTCGACACAAGCAGGTTGATGTACTCGACAACCGCGCGCTACATCGCCGCCAATGGAGCCGCGGTCGTAGTCATCGACCACCCCGGCGACGCGTCAATCGTCGAGTTCACGGCGTCGAGAACGCGGGATTTGGAGGTTGTGTATAACAGTGGGACGGTTCCTTTGTCGAATTTATCGCCTATTACGGAGTATAATGAGACAGTGGAAATGGCGGTCGAAACACGGATAGAGGATATCGCATTTACTCTCGGACAAATCAACAGCACATCCTTGCTAACCCGCCAATTCCCCTCTCTGCACTTCACGGGGAATTTAAACACGGAGTCTTTCGGTATCATTGGTCATGGGCTAGGCGGCACAGTCGCGACGTCCCTCTCCCTCGGGCTCTTCCCTACCCTCCTCTCCCCAACCCTTCTCCACACTACAAACTCCCCCACAGCAAGCTTCAGCATCAACCTCTCCGGCACACCCCCCCTCCTCAACTCCTCCACAAACAACACCCCCCTCTTCTTCTTCGGCCGCGCGGATTTCAGGCGTGAACACGACATCAACTGGCCGACTACATGGAGCCATCTCACGGGTCCGGCTACGGAGTTTGATCTTGATGACTCTGCGGTTTTCGATGCGAGTGATCTGCCGTTGGTTTTGGAGTTGGCGAGGGAGGAGGGAGGGAAAACGGGGGCGGTGGGAAGGGGGTTGAGTGGGGGGAATCCGGCGGAGGGGGCGAGGGCGGTGATATGTTTCTTGGAGAATATTGTTAAGGAGATGGTGGGGCTGGAGGGGCAGGGGAGGAATGTGGGGGATTGTATCAGGATGTTTGAGGGGGTTAGGCCGTATCCTGGGTATGGGAATGGGAGGGGGGGATGAGTGTGTAGATGGGTATGGGGGGAGATGGGGGCTGGTTAGGGTTGTATGGATTGTGGAGGGCTAGGTCCAGGGTGTAGGGAGAGTGTGGTACAGAACTGGGAGTACACGCTGTTGCGCTCGAGGAAGGCGAGGGAGTTTGTGTTCGCGACGGACAAGACGTTGTTTCGCGGCTTTTTGTTTGGGGTAGAAAAGGTGTAGCAAGGGAGCGCAGTCGCTGCAGCCATCTTTTTGTAGTTAATAGCATTATACCAGGGCAACTTTAAGAACCATCGCGCATGTATTAGTAGTCTGTGGCAGCGCGTCTATAGATAAGCCTTTTCGTAGCAGATAAACTAAGGCAACAAGACAGTAGGGTAGAGCCTCCATTGACGCCAAATTTCTCGTATGCTCTTCTTGTCCTCGGTAGTTCATAGATTTGCTGTATGTCCCGTGCATGAGAAGGAGATGTAGAGCGTCTCTCGTTTCCATCATGTCGGAAGTTTCGGAACGGTTCCGCGGCGCTGCGAAAATGTTCGAACGCATTGCTAGAACCATGCACGGAGATACAATCGCCACATGACAATGAGCATGAATCTCTCTACTTACACACGATTATGACAATCCAACTACCGTGTATCGAACTACCGCGTATCGCACCTCGCCGCATACCCCACCTTTGCTGTGGCTTCTTAGTAAGGATTCGCCAAGAGCGTTGCAGATCCCTGTCAACAGGCTCGGACAGCCCACCTAAAGCGCTCCAAAGCATGTCACATATCAGTCATCTCCGCCCTACCCTCTTGCGGCGTATATAGCTCCCCATGTGCGCCCCTCCCAATGTTGGAAGAAGCTCTCCAAATCGACACTCCCCATAATGGCGCAAATGGCTAGGATACGGGCGGGTCCGGCCGCGCTGCGACGAGCGGCTGGTGGCAATCAGATGTCACGTCCGCTTTCACGACCGCTTGCACACCCGACTACGCGACTGTCGATAGGCGCATTACGCACAAGATGCATTGCGACGAATGCTGCGATCCAGGAACCTGACGTGGAATTCCCCGCGGGTGTGCCTCCAGTTTCGGTGCCGTCGACGTCGAAGGTGGATGAGCGGAGGAAGGCGATTAAGAATGCGAAACCTTTCTCCGATTTCTTGACGGATACGTTCAATCGGCAGCATGACTATCTCCGTATCAGCATCACAGAGCGCTGCAACCTGCGGTGTCTGTACTGCATGCCAGAGGGTGCGCTTCCAACATCTGCATAGCAAAGGACTCTGCTAACAAAAAATAGAGGGCATACCGCTATCACCCCCCGCCAACATGCTCACCACGCCCGAGATCTTCTACCTCTCCTCCCTCTTCGTCTCGCAAGGCGTAACCAAGATCCGGCTCACAGGCGGCGAGCCCACGGTCCGCCGCGACATCGTCCCGCTCATGCAGCAAATCGGCAGTCTGCGCCCGCGCGGCCTCCGCGAACTCGCCCTCACAACCAACGGCATCTCGCTGCACCGCAAACTAGATGCCATGGTGGAAGCTGGTCTAACCGGCGTCAACCTCAGCCTCGACACCCTAGACCCGTTCCAATTCCAGATCATGACCCGCCGGAAAGGCTTCGACGCCGTTATGAGGTCAATTGACCGTATACTCGAGATGAACAAACTGGGCGCGAACGTTAAGCTGAAGGTCAACTGCGTCGTCATGCGCGGCCTCAACGAGCGCGAAATCCTGCCTTTTGTCGAAATGGGCCGCGAAAAGGACATCGAAGTGCGTTTCATCGAATACATGCCCTTTGGCGGGAACAAGTGGAGCGAGAACAAGATGATCAGTTTCCAGGAGATGCTAGACATCATCCGTACGAAATACCCCGGCCTAAGACCCGTCCCTGGACACAAAAACGACACGAGCAAAACATACGAAGTACCTGGCTTCGTGGGCAAAGTCGGCTTTATCACGAGTATGACGAACGATTTCTGCGGGTCCTGCAATAGACTCCGCATTACGAGCGACGGGAATCTTAAAGTCTGTTTGCATGGTAATGCGGAGGTTTCGTTAAGAGACGTACTGCGCCAGGGTAATGGCGGCGAGCCTATTGACCAAGAAGCATTTGAGCGCATTAAGCAGGTCGAGATGGACCGGCACGAGGGCCCGTTGAGCGACGAAACGGTTCTTGGTTGGGGCCAACGCGAGCGCGAACTTCTGGACGTCGTTGGAGCTGCTGTTAAGCGGAAGGCGGAGAAGCATGCTGATCTGGACGACCTTGCCAATATGGAGAATAGGCCTATGATTTTAATTGGTGGGTGAATATGGATTCTCTCTTTTCTTCTTTCTCTCACGACGCCATTATCTGGGTTTGCTCTCACGAACTGTCATGGTTGGATGTCGCATGATACCACGGTTGTCACTGCATAGATGGCGTTTTGAGCGATCTCATTTACTGTCACTTAGACCTGGATATTTGGCTATATACACCAATCATATACCCGATTCGTCCTCATCTGAGACCGTCCAGTTTGTGATGTACCTTGCTGACCTTATTCAGATGGTAAACCCTTGTCCAGTCTGGATTCCCAATGGCCTACATCGCGAACACCTTCCTACAGCCACTCCAACCCCTTCCTACCGCGCTTTACTACATCCACCTCGCCACTCCCCTTCCTACCCACCCAATCCCACCCCACAGCGACCTCCATCCGCGCCTTCTCAACATCCCCCACCCCCGCCGCAAAGAAAACATACCAACTCAAACGCCTCGCCAAAGCCAAAAAGCTCCTCAAGAACATAGACACATCAAGATCCACAGACGCATTCGGCGTCCAACAGTTTCTAGAGGACGTCGAAGCACCGAATGAATCCGAAAACCTCCTGAGGGATATCGAGAAGAAGATTGCTAATCTACATCGTCGCATCGTCGAGGTTGAGAGGGGGACGCCGCTTGCTTCTGCTTCTGCTTCTGCATCCCAGGTGCCCGCCCCGCCAGTATCTCCGGGAGTGCGTGTGGCTGATGCGTTTGATGCTGTTGGCACTGCGGTCGGTAACGATACGACGGCACCAAGAAAAAGGAAAGGCAAAAACGAGCGCGAGCGAGCCCGAAGACGCGAACAAGAAAGATACCGGAATGAGAAGATGAAGGAACTTGGTGTGCTGCTGAACCAATGTAAAGAACAAGCCACAGTCGTCAAAGCGGAATTAGAGAAAACAGTCGAGATGCGTAAGCGACGCGAACAAGTACTATCTCGAAAACGCACACTACTTCGCCAACTACACGCACATGAAGAGGAGGAGCGCAGGGCCAACCTCGTGCGTAGAACGAGCCAGGCATTTAGGGAGGCTGGGCTGCCGGAGGGATTCGAGCTTGATGAGGTACTCGATGATGCGATGAAGAAGGTTAAGAAGATGCCGATGCATCCGCCGAGGGAAGAAAGGGTGTTTAAAGAGAGGGAGGTGAAGGATGTGGATGTGCCGAGGGCGAAGAGGCTTGTGAGACCGGCGGGGAAGGGGGCTGTGAGTGTGCTGGAGAGGGGTGGGGATGGGGATGGGGAGGAGGTGGTGGGGGAGGAGGTTATGGAGAGGGAACGAGCTGAGGGGGTGGTGGTAGACGATGGCGATACTTCCACATCCAAGTCTCCATCCGAATCGACCCAGGAACAGACAGAGACTACTGCCAGGACCTCAACCGACAAGCCCTCTGCAGAAGAACTAGTTGACGCGGCTGCCGACGACTTCACGAGTTCAGTCGCAAACGCAGGAGATCCCTTCCCTCCCTCGTCCCCCCAGCAAAAGCCATCAACCAAGGCCGGCAAACCCATCAAGAAGGATACACCACTCCCACCACCATCCCCACCAACCTCAAAAGATGACCTCCGCCTCAACATCCCCCCCTCAGGCATCGTCCCCATCGACGCCGACTTAATCCTCTCCCTCGACTCCCCCGTCCCAGCCCTCCAATCCCAAGTCCTCGCCCTCCGCAACCGCCTAAAATCCTCCTACCCCCGCATCGACAACCTCCCCTACGACGTCTGGACCTCGTCCAACAAACGCACTTTGCAAACCTGGCTTAAAATTTTAATCAGCCGATGGAACGCGCGCTTCGATGATGTTGATCGTACGGGCCAGGTTGATAAGGGGATTGTGGATGAGAGGGTGAAGGAGGTACTGGATAGTATGGTTGGGGAACATGATTTGGGGAATGAGGCGGCGGAACGTATGGCGATGAGGTGGCATGAGGCGTTTGAGCGGAGGGGGGATATGTGGGGGGATGCGGAGGGAGTGTTGGATTGGGAGGAGATGGAGGCGGGGGGGTTGGGGTTTTTGGGTGTGGAGAGGGAGGATGGTGGGGTTGAAGGACCGGTGCTGAAGCAAGAGATGGGTAAGACTAGTCACGAGGTGGATGTCGAGAAGAAGATTGAGCCTACGCCTGTGAGGATGGCGGGGAGTGGTGTGACAACGAACGGGGTTATGGGTCGCAGGATGTATTCCACGTCGACGAGAAGGGGGTTTTGGTCTTGGTCCAGGATTTTGGGGACGGAGGCGAAAGACGAAAAGAACGAGAAGAAAAAGGACTTGAAGCAGCGTTATAGGACAGACGCCATACCAGACAGCACGACTCAGCCCAAGCCCGCTGCTACACCGGACGCCAAACCAGTCGCGAAGATCGATACAAAATTGCACGAAAAGACCGACGTTCAATCAATCGCCAAATCAAACCTCAAGCCCGACCCAAAGCGCCAAACCAAGCACCCCGCAGAGTCCGTCCCACCGAAGCATGATGTCAAAGCAGACGCCAAATCCGACGCCAAAGCGGAAACAAAAGATGACGCCAAACCCGACCCTCGCAAAATTAGAGAGGACTCACCTCGGATGCATCGGCCTCCCGGTCAGGGCGTAAGTAAGACCGTCTTGCAGAAAAAGAGGAGGCAAGCTAAGAAGATAGAGGATGAGAGACGAATGACTGAGGCACTGGAGCGAGGACGAGAGGGTGGGGAGAGTGAAGAGAGAGGGGTGGAAGTACAAGAGCAAGGAAGAGAAGATGGAGAACGACAGCCTGGCGCACATCAACATGCACAAGAGCGTGCAGAAGAGTCTGAAACCCAACAGCCGCCCCAACAGCCGCCCCCGGTCGAACGCGCAATCGACAAATTACCGCAATACCGAGTGGAAAGCATCAAAAAGGCCGAGGAAGTCTTACCTAAACCCGTGCCACGCACCCACCAAATCGCACCTAACCAAGACACCGAAACCGACACCGACAAACCAGCCTTCGTACGCGCAAAGAGACCCCTCCAGCCCCTGCCTGGACTCAGACGCTCGAGGCATGTTGAATGGAGGAAATTGGAGCGGACAGAATTGCCCGGGCCGCCTAGACATATTGTGAAGCCCCCGACAGACAGCAAGGGCAAGGGTTCAAGAACAAAGTCCCTGCAAGACTTTTTGGATAGCATGAATGAGGTTGCTGCGCATTCGCCTTTTGAGGCAGAACCGAGACAGCAGACTCGTCCTTTGTCGATGCTGGAGGGGGGCATGGAGGGACTAGTGCAACAATCCTCGTCCGCTCAACAACTTCATCCGCAGAGCAAACCTGCCTCTTCCCAGCCTACCTCCGCTCAGCAACCCCAACCACCACCATCTCTCCCCCACCTCACCCCCTCCGGCTCTGCGCACATGGTCTCCGTATCCGCCAAGGAACACACGACCCGCACCGCCATCGCAGTCGGAACCGTGTATTTCACCAACGCCGTGCCCCTCCGCCTCATCACATCAAAGGCCAACAAAAAAGGAGATGTACTGGGTACATCGCGCATAGCCGGCATAATGGCCGCGAAAAAATGCCCAGATCTAATCCCCCTGTGCCATCCCATCGCTCTAACCCACGTTGGCGTTGAACTACGACTTTTTGGCGATAAGTGGGATCCGCGGACAACAACAACAACAAAGGAAGGGGAGATGGAGGGGATTATGGGGGTATTGGGGAAGGAGATAGGTAAGGAAGGGAAGGAAAAGGGGAAGGGGAAAATGGGTTTTGGGGGTGTGAACATCGAAGCCAAAGTCCAATGTACAGGCCCCACGGGAGTGGAGATGGAGGCCCTGACTGCGGTTATGGGCGCGGCGCTTAGTGTGGTGGATATGTGTAAGGCGGTGGATAGGGCGCAGAGGGTGAGTGGTGTTAGGGTTGTGATGAAGGAGGGGGGGAGGAGTGGGGAGTGGAGAGAAGAGGGGTGGAGGAGTTGGCAGGAATGAGTAGGGTGGGAGATAAAGATGGGGATGGGGAGAAAGTGGGTGATGACGGGGATGTAAGATTATGGGGATGATAATGAGCATGTCTGTGTGGAGAGGATTGTTTCTACGATTTGAAGTTTTACCTCAATAGAGAGTTTTAAATACTGCAGCGACTAAGGTGCCTCGGTACACTCTTTCTATTCAAGCAAAACGCCGCGCTGCCACAGCGACCGATACATGCGCGCTAGTCCCTAGAATTGCAAGGTCATATTCGTGTTATGTCTTCGATTCCCGGTTCGATTCGTCTGATACAAAGAAGACCTTTCGCATACCTAGTAAGAGGTCAGACCACGCCTTTTGATCAACAGCATGTTGCACACTCTCCTCGGTGGATGACAGGGTTATACAATTTACCAATTCGCATGTTCTTCGTTCTCAAGGATATCTTGATGCTTGAACCCAAGCACAGTCGCTATTACACAACACGATGTATTATCGTAATGCAGTTGTATCTTGTGAAACCCTTGTGCTCGCTCTAGACCCCCATATATTTCCTTAGTCTATCTCAGAAATCAGCAACAATAACGAAGCCATTCAACCCCAAGAAAGGCCACAACGAATCTCCATGTCAAATCAGAGGTTGGGGAACGAGACAAGACCTCTGCCAAGGAACTCAGAGATCGGCAAATCCAAAGATCTCGCAACTTCCCGTATCATGTCCATGGCTTCTGATGCATTGAACCCTTGAAAAGACAGTTGCTTGATCAGCGGACACCATGTATCTTTCAGCTTTAGCATACCGCGAAGGCAATCTTCACTCAAGTCGGTGTCGAAATAGCAGTTCTGCAGCTTCAGATGTTTCAACGACTCTGGTAGGTGACCGAGGTTCGTAAGTTTCTCGAACTGGATCGTCATGTGCGATAGCATTTCGAAATCTCGAAACGAGGGGTACACGTAGTGGTATGAGTCTTGGCCGTACAGTACCATGTCTTGTTGAAACTCCGCACTACGCATATCGTAATAGTTGTTGAAGTGCAATTCCAGGGTCTTTAGAGTTGCTTTATGCTTTTCCAGTAGCGCGATTCCCAGATCTCGTGGCGTGACGAGGGGTTGGCTGCCTATGTCGACTGGCAAGATACCTCCATGACGATTGTCATCTGGGACGACGAATTTGAATGTTTCCAAGCGAGGACATGCGTCGAGAGCTTGTCGCATGGTAGCGAGTGGCCCAAGAGTCCACCACAACTCAATCGCCGATGGTGTGAGTACGTTCGTGGCAGGATGAGCATCATTACCGGCCGATGCTTCGTTCTCGGTAGAGAATGAAGTGAACGATGGGAATCGCAGGAGCGGGATGTAGTCGACTATGTTGATTGGCTGGTTATCGGAATGCTTGTGCCTGCAGCTTGTTGAGCGAGAGCGACATGCGCAGGAATTGGTGAGACTTACAAATGGAACGTCTCCAACCTAGCGAGGAAGGCGTCACTAGAAGCTCTCATCGCATGCATCCCTTGCAGCAGTCCGCGAGGAGGCAGATTGTGTGTATCCATACGAAGATGCCGTAGATTGGGCAGACAAAGAAGTGTGTATAACACAAGCGTCTGATACAACACGTTCTGTTCGCTATCCCAATTCTTAACTGCCCATAATTTCGAGAATTCTGAGAAAGTGGGATGGCGCATAAGGTCAGGTCCTTCGTACGGGGCTGGTCGATGGTAATGTAAAGTGAGCGATCGCGTCTTCTTTGCGAGCTTGGGGCGTTCGACACAGGTCCGCAAGAAGAGCTCAAGAGATCTCATGGTCTCGGGCATCGACTGTCCTAGTACCGCGCAAGTGTAGAGCGCGGGTTGCGCAACAGCTGCCAGCGCGCGGGATGTTTTGCATAGTCGCCATAGTGCTCTGACGTCCGACCAGCGGCCTGTTTCGAGATGCGCGACGATGGAATAGAGCAGTTCGTTGGATAGATCAGTGAGCTTTGCCATGGTTTGATGCGAATTGACCGCGGAGGTGTCGCAAGCCAGGTGCACCACATCAGGCAGTAACATTAGTAAGCGACGCTAGCTTCGCGGGGCTATCCTTTTGGCGAACTGGCATCACGGCCGGTGACCACAACCTTCACCTTCACCAACGATCAAGCTCACAGTATCAGTCATACAGAAGAAGCTTCTCAGTGGTACAACAGAAATGAATTCAAGGACGACAAAAGAAATCTAACAAATCACGGGCCCTCCTTCCATTATCCCTCCCAACCAGTCCTAACCCGCCAATGCAGACAGCCTACATCATGGCGCAAGGAGGGCACCGCTTCTTGCCACACCTCTTCTTGTTCTCCTTGCGCTGGGCCCGCTTCATTGACTAGATGATCGTTAGCAGATACCACGTCAAGCCCATTCAAAGTATGACTTACAGCGACCTTCATGTCCTCGAGGAGCTTAGCCTCCCAAGCCTCGTCCGTCTCCACAATGACTGTGGTAGCGTCAGTGCTGTCCTCGGTGACAGCGGCGGCAGCAGCGGTGGTGGTAGCCTCGGAAGGCTCGTCGGCCACGGTGACCATGGGGATGGGCATCCCGCTGGGGGGCAGGATGACGGAGGTGGACCAGGCAGTGACCTCGGGCCAGGTAGGCTCGTCGGCCACGGTGACCTGGGGGATAGGCATCCCACTGGGAGGCAGGATGACGGAGGTATATGTAAAACCTGCCGGGGTGGTCTGAGAAGGAACCAGGCATGTTAGTCCATACTTCATAAAACAGTTGTAAAATGAATTGCTTACGGATGTGGTGAGAGCAGGCATTTTGCTTCGATTTTTGACTTTGAGATACTTTTTTGTAGATGTCTTGGGATGAAGATGGAATACTGTAAGTATTTAGGAGGGATGAGAGGGTTTATATAGAGATATTCTAACTTTCTGCTGTGGTAGCGCACGGAACTATACTGGTGGTGTGTGTGGGCACAAATTGCAAAACCCTCTTCGCTACCCTTGAAATGTTGTCTCAACCACTCAAATCTATTGCACCCACAATGCATACCAAAGCTCTGGAAATTGGAAGCATGCAGAATGAGATATTCCAAGCCGTCCAATAGTATACCTGATATCTCATATCAGGCTGGCAGCGACAATAGTTCACCTCACCTCCCAGAGAACCCACATCTCTACCTCTGGAGAATACAACCTGAGCGACCATCGCAATCACACCACCCATTGCTACCCGTGAAGCATACCATGGCTGCGTAAAGCGACTGGAAGTTTTCCGATAATATCGTTTGCCAACTACCCAATGATGTTCGCGATGTATGAAGCCTGGTTGGTAGCGACCGTAGTTTCCAGCACCTCGCGAAAAGCCCTCACCTCCACGCCTAGAAAGCACTACCCATCTTACTATACCGATAATACACCCAAAGCTCACCCATAGAGCATACCACAGTTGCACGCGTCCCTTACAAAGCGCTCACCACACCCATCCGCAACACCCTCACTCTGAATGGCTCCCACAGCCACCGCACTAGCCTGCCCCATACAGTACCATTATACCATCGTCCCTTCCCTCCCCACCCACTCAACCCCACGCTCCCCAATATCCTCCAAACTGCGCACCCTCGCCGCTTCTAACCTGGGGAAAAGTAGCTTAGCGCCTCCCACACAACTTGCCGTGTATATCATCTCACCTTCTACTTCCGTTCTCCATCCTTCCTTCACCTCACCTCACTTCACAGAACGCAAGTCCAGACGCATACTGCAAGCCACCTTCCCAACCCAACCCAAATACACACCCACCCACCAACCACAAAAATGCACACCCCAACCATCCTCCTCATCGCGGCCGCAGCCAGCGCCGCCGTCGCCGCGCCCGTCACCACCATCAAGCCTACCGACTCAACCAACCCTACCAACCCTACCAACAAGATCAACCTTAACGCCCCCATTGCCAAGGCACTTGCCTCCGCCGGCATGGTCGACACAGAAGGCCACTGCATGCACCCTCTGCACGACGGCCTCGCGTACCCACCGCGTGCCGCACTCTATGCTGCTGACGCCGCCGCTGCTGACTTTGCTGCCGCTTCCGTCGTCGCTGCCGCCGCTGAGGAAGAAGAAGAGACCCAAGAGCAGTACAACAAGAAGCTCGTCAAGATGGACAAGGCGCGTGAGCACGGTGTTGTCTGCACTGTTTTGTAGAGTTCACCTTTACAGTAAGTACCTCACAAGCACGCTTCTGGGATGATCCAAGCTAACACGCGGTCAGTCTGACGCATCTACAAATCCTCACGTGAGTTACACGAAGGAAGGGTGATTTCCACGAGAGAGCGTGAGAACGAGTGAGGGATACATGGCATGGCGTTAGGCGCACCGTAGTGACGTTAATCGCGATCACGGATACGAACACGAACAACTGCGCTCTTAGAGGCTTTTCATGATGTCAATCTGATTCAACATTACACACTGTCTACACTATCATGCCGTTGTGAAACGTTGTGTCTCTACTATTACCCCTGCTTATACGTGATCTCACAACGATGCGCTTTCGGCGCAATGAGAAAGAAGTTCTGTTACCAGATATTAGCACACATGTCACACACACACACCCACAAACGCATGCATGAACTTACCTCAAACTCCATACTCTCAGGCGTCGTGCTGGCCGCCAACCGAATACCACGGCATTCGCGGAAGAAGAATGCAGTCGCATATCTTAGTTCCATGCGCGCTAGATGGATACCGATACACGAGCGCGCACCGGCGCCGAAGGGATGGAACGCGAGTTTCGCCTCAGGCGATTGCGCTTCAGGCACCATTTCCTTGTCCGTGGCGATCCAGCGCTGAGGGTTGAAACTACCGGGGGTCAGCTTGCTATTGCGCGATGCGATGAAGTGCAAAGGCACGACTTACGTCAGAGGATCGCTCCAAATCTTGGGGTCGCGATGCAAAGTATACGCTTGCGTGTCGACGGTGACGCCCTGTGGGATGTAGTGACCAGCGAACTTGGTGCCACCCTGAGGCACCACCCTAGGCAGACTACTCGGCGCCGCTCCGTAGAGTCTTAGCGTCTCTTCGATAACCGCGTTGAGCAGCGGAAGTTTGATGAGATCGTTTTCGGAAAAGTCATGCGCTAGCGCCGCGGTCTCAGCCTCGAGCGCCGCTTGCAGCTCCGGTCGTTGGAGCACCGCCCATGTAAGGTACGTCAGGGTCACTCCCGTGGTATCGGTACCTGCAATGATGACGTTCATGGCTTCGATTCTGACGTCCATGTCGTCAATGTGGCCCTCGCCTTCCTTCTCGCAGTCCTCGATGACTTTTGCGAAGATGTTGTTTTCGCCGGTGCGCGAGCGTGCTGTTTCGACGGCTTTGCCTGCGCCGGCGAGGATGAACTCGTTTGCGTTGAACATCTCTTGGATCGCCGGGACTGGTACGAAGCGCAGGAGGCGGAGGAATGGCATCTCGACCATGATGCCAGCGCCCATTGTCAGCTTCTTCAGCACGCGCATGAATTGGTTTTGCTACGACGTGTCAGCTTTGATGTGGCATTCGTAGTCGCATCTTCATACCTCTCCTGATTCCAGCATGTTGAATGAGTCGCCAAATGCGAGGTGAGCGCTAACGTCTGAGGCAAGGAGCATCCACCAGTTGTACACGTCGGCTGTCGCTTGCGTAGCATCCGCCTTGATCTTCGTAACAGCCATGAGCGCCTTGTCCCTGACGACAGACTCCCAATGCTCAACAAGGTATGTCCTGCTGAAAGATCTAGACAACAGCTTCCTTCGCGGTCCATGTTCGCGTGGATCAAGCATGGTGAACACACCGGCCTTGGGGAAGTTGGCAAGTCGTAGGTACCATTCGCTCTTCATGTACTTGGTGCCAATCTTGTGAATCTCTTTAAAGGCATCCAAGTCGGCAACGGCAACCTCATTAGGCGACAGTCGTACAATGGGTCCATATTGCTCGTGCAGGGAGTCGATGTAGAAGATGCGCTGCCCTGTTACGACTGCGCGCTTCAAGCGATAATGCGTGAATCGAGTATACCAAGGGCCTGGCAAGTGCTTTGTCCGACAGGTAAGACCAACGTAGAGAAACTGTGGTCGTTAGTGCTAGGTTGCGGAAGTGACATCCTCGCTGCACTACCTTTGCTACCAGCAGGCCGATTGCCAACAAGAATGCGTAGGCGAACGAAGCCATGTTGCGATGTAGTCGCTCGGACTGGAGACAATGAAGCTGATGTAGTTGCAGTACAAGCAGTTGAAGCTTAGGAGTGCTATCAGTCGATTGAGGACTCGGTGTAGATATGGGCACGGTACTTAAACCAGTGCTACGGATCTACTCAGATGAAAATGACCTGCGTGCGCAAGAGACGTACTCTTATCCATCTTCATTTCTTCTTTCGCTAGACCAAACAGGATCAGCGAGCATCGTGTACCGGCATTGCTTTTGCGTACACCGGTCTACGGTCAACTGGGGACCCGACAAAGATAGCTAACGGTCCCTGTAGGCCTCCGACCATCGTCGCGCAACTCTGTTGTGGCATTGCATGGGGGCACGCGAGCGGCTGTCAGAGCGAAGCAGGCGAATGACAGACGCAGGGCGCTCTTCCGCATCAAGATCTCCAGATGAAACCTTGCCGAATCGAGTATAACGTAGATTGACCGCGCCGAAACATGCATGGTGCTCGCTGGTAGAGGGAGGGTATACCGGCTCGGGCCCAGGGCGCTCTTCTGAGGCGGAGGACGTTCTGGCGATGGCTCCGTTAGACAGCCGCACTGCCTTCACGCGAACGTCCGTTGCTGTCTCTATCCGTTCAAGGTAGTTTTGCGTTGCCGTTGATGTGCTTGGTGTGGGCAAAAGTCGCATCCCGCGGAAGCCGAATCCAGCAAAGGTAGTACCAATCCGATAGTTCATAGGATTCGTAGAATGCGTCTGGCCTGCTACCCAATCTCCGCAATGCGGGGATACTGTTGAATAATCAATGTGGAGGCTAGATAGAGGTTAGCAGAAGCGCTAGAGGCACATCACCGCCATGATCGCCGTTGGCTTACCGCAAGCTTCGAGTCAACGTCAACCCCACCTCATACCGAACTCTACACAAAGCCATACCCTTGTACTCCGCCAGCTCGTATACAGGATAGCGTTGTTGAAGCGAGTATCTCCGGGCGCTGCATAGTCGGAACAAGAGGCGCGTGCCGATGAGATCCACGCGAACGCAGCCGGGAATCAAGGGAACCGTGGCCGGGTTGGGTGTTGCGGTGCGGCTTGCTTCTGTGGCTTCGTTGGGATGATCGGGTACTGAAGACGCGGAAGGTGGTCGGAACTTCGAAGGCGCGAACGCAAAACTATTGACTCAACTTGCGACGAGAGCCCTGGACAAAAGTATCATGTCCGCATCTTGCCAATACAAAGCACCGCAAAGACGTTCATGATACCTCTTACTGAATGCCCCTCCAGGAGCGGGCGACTTCGTGCTGGGAAGATGCCTCGTATCCGGCTGAGCTTCTGCACACTTCACTAGGCGTACCGGCTTCTCAGAAGACAGGCAAACACCAGGTACGATGGCGTCGCTGGAAGGTCTGGCCGCGAACAAAGTCAACCCAGGCCGTCATTGTGACAGGTCGTTGATTACATATGGCGGCGCGTGCTGGCTGTCGCGATGCGTTGCGTTGACCCCGCGCAGTCGGCCAGCCATGCGCGCAATCCCGATTGCTGTGGCTGAACGCATGAGTCCTGCGACCGAGGACTTCCGGACCGCAACTGTTGCTGCAAATGGGTTACCGGGTATCGACATGCGGATGTGACAGCGGACGGGCCGATGGAAAATGCTGAATGTGAGATGGACGAAGGTGGTTGAATTCGGGGAGCACATGTATCACCACGGAAGGAGGTCGTGACGTCAACCGTTACCTGTCGCCGGAGCGGGTGTTGCCCGTCGCTATTCGCATGGCTGGGTATAGCTTGAATGATGCTAAGCATTACTTGGGTATATCATACTACCATTGACATATCATCTTGCTGCAGGTGTATGTCACGTGCCCTGATGAGCGACTGCCCAGGTGGCTCTTGCCTGCTTTCCACGGTAGCCGTGAAGGCTGTCCCTACAGCGCTGCACGCGGCCGAACCGTCCAGATGTCAATAGCTGTTCCGCACCCAGTCAATGGAAATGCCAAAATCCGCCACAACACGGGCTGTGAATCCCTGTTCATTGCCTCAAACCCGCATCTGCGAATAGCACTCCTAGATGTATGCAATTACATTCTGATCCGATACCTCACCCGTGTATGTCAGCTTACTAAACGAGAAGGGTATTAGAGCTCAGTATCGAGGCAACGCAACCGGATTTTAGCTAACATGCGCTGGGAGAACGAGCAATCCATCAAGCTACACAAAAAGCCATTCCAAGGTTTTTTGTCAAATCAATCCAGGGATATCACGGCACCATAGCATATAACTCTTAACGAAGCAGTCCCCTCGCGCTTTCAACCAGTTCCTTCACTCGTTGCCACGAACCCACCAAAAATTACAGCATCGATCTTCCCGCCAGATTCCAGATCCCATCATTACACTTCCATAAACTTTTCCTCCCGCAGAATATGCCCATGCCACCTCCAACAACTCTTACACGTCACCTCCAAACACGGCGTCTCATACGTAATTCTATTCTGCCATTCCCCCTTCCTTTGTCTCTTTGGTCCGCCGTAATGGAAGCGAAACAGCTTTACCTTGCAAGACTTCACACCATTTCCTGCGTCTTTGGGTTTACGTTGCTTCGCTTCGCGGATCTTCTTGGACGGAGAAGGAGGTAGTGATAGGCATCGTAACTTGAGGGTCAGCTTTCGTGGTATGTTCTTTGTTTTGTGTAGCGGGGTTGAAGGATGGTAGGCGTTCCATATATGTGCCGGTATTCTAATACTCAGTCGCGTTTTGTCTGTAAGGCTGTCACGCTCGGGCAGTACGTCGGGTTGGTACTCATTCCATATGTGCTTTGGTATTCTGATCTTCAGTCCCATCATGTCTGTAATCAGGTCGATCATTGCGATCCTTTCGCTAGGACGTCGGTTGGCCAGGCGCATTTGCTCTGTTGTCAAACTTGCTGTTTCCTTCATTTTCGTGACGCGACAACAAATAAGTTGCCAGCTACGAAGTTTGTTGGTGTACTTGTTGGTCCTTGATAGCCTGGACGTGTGCGGCAAGCCAGAGATCAATGACAGCATGGCTGCTGGAACAAAGGTGTTTCAGATCCTTGAGATGAATGCCATTGTCTTGCCCATGACCAGGTGTCTTTCTCTAATGATTTCCCGCGTAAATGCTCATGATGCGATGCAGAATGCTAAATGATAGTATGAAAGTCGCGTGAAAACAATCGTCTACTCGTAACACTGGTCCCAAAGGCCACCACTCCTCGCAAAGCTCTGGCTCTCCACGAAGTTACTCAACGTACACCTTCCAAACTTGTCGCCGCCGCAAAACTCTAATGGGTGCACGCGGTCGTTCACAATGACACGGACCGACTCTTCCTTCGCATGCCTGCACTGCAGCTTCTCCACGTAGAGGCGGGCTGCGAAGGGTACACTCCACGCTGCTGAGTAGCCATGTGTCTTCTTTGTATCCTCCATGGTGGTGTTCGACAGCGGCTTCGTCTTGTTGTATAGACCAAGCGCAGCCAAAACACCGCTGATGTCGTTGTCGTGGCTGAAGTCGGCGTACACCTTGCGGTCGAGCGGGAACGTCTTGGGATCGGAGTCGAGCGTGCGGTTCGTGTTGGTGTTGTCGTCGACAGGTTTGTTAGTCAGACGCGCCAACAGCTCGTTGACGTAGCCGACGCCCTGTGTGGGACCGAGCGGGTTGCCGACGCTGTATCCGTAGTACTTGCCCAGCGTCTGGAAGTAGTCATACTCGCGCCATTCCTTCACCTTGAAGATCTTGCAGAAGTCGGACAGCTTTGCAGACGGGTGTGCTAGTGTGTCGAATGGACACATGTCCATCAGGTAAATTATAGATGTCGCGCTAAGGTTCGTTCCAAGAGCTGAGTTGATGCGCTCTTGGATGGGTGGGACGAACTTGTCAGCCCAAACCTGCTGCGCCCTGAGTCCTAGACCGTGATGTGGGCCGCCCTCGAAGGCGGGACAGACGTCGTGGGAGAGGGTGTTGTTCCACGTCGGCCCTTCTGGGATCACCACGTCGATGTTTCGCGGCTCCTCTTTCAGGGACTGCGCAACGCCCATGAGCCACTTCTCCGCAGATTCGACCACGCGATGCTGGCCCCCTGACCGCACGAAAGGTACGTTTCCGTCGATCAGCTTCTGGTATCGTTGGTAGAAGTGTGCCCCGGAGTTGACCATCTCCTGCCTTCCAGCATCTGTCAACTCATCCGCACCCAGGGAATAGTCATAATCCTTAAGGAACTCGAACTCCTTCGGGTAGGATGTGGTCGTGTTCTGTATTTCGGCTAGGAGGATGTGGTACGCGATCGATTTGCCCAGTGTTGGGTCGCGACCGCCGTGGCGGGAGAGGACGTTCGCAAAGGTGACTTCGCAGCCCTTGGGAGGAGCTACGTCGATGTCGGAGGGCACCGAATACCAAAGCGAGTATTGCCCCCAGAAGTGCGATTTCTTTGGACTACATCGGTAGCCTTCGTCGATGGTGTCGCACGACTTCTTGGGACAAGAGAACGTGAAGAGACTGGCCATTGTCAGCTTTGCGTGTTTCGACATGTTGGTGTGTCGTACCCATGGACGCAATACAGGACCACGCATGCGCCAACCACGAGAAGAACCCGACGCCCAAAGCCCTTCGGTCGCTGTTCGCGTCGAGATCTGTTTGAAAGCGGCTCCTTCTCGCTCATTGGGAGCGGAGCATAGTCTTGCGAGCGATTGTTGCGCATCCTGTTCCACGCCTGCGTCATCTAAGAGATGGTTTGGTGACGGTATACGATGCGAGTGGCATTGACGCGCTGCGTACTCGGCACTAGATGTTGGGGAATCGTCAACAAGTGACGTATGACCATCATGGTGTTCGGCAGAAGCCGTGACCGCCAAGCCGACGCCCGGGCCCCATCCTCAAACTTCGCCAGCACTCTTCAATGCCTTTCACTTGCTGTCATCTGATCTCGTCACATATCTCCAAGCCCATCTCCAAGAACACGCTCTTGACGCGCAATCTCCGGCTAGATACGGTCGCGTCCGCTTGCCGACACCAGTTAGGCCTGTGTGCAATTGCGCGATGTAACGCCGTTCCGTCAGCGCGAGATAGTCGTCGCTATGGCGCCTGATTGGCTTCTACCCCATGTTTTGGCCCCTGTGGAGACCACCACCGGGCCTCTTATCTGTGGATGAACCACAAGTAAGCATTGACAAGCTTCCACCGACCTGGTCGCCATGCCTGTTCGGTGCAGCCGACGTCAATGGCCGCATGGCTAAGAGCACGGCTTCGCGCATCCTTCCGGATCGCATCTTCACGTCCATGTGTTTATAGAGACTGTCTGCTCCGTCGTCAGCTTCCTGTCATTGGTATCACGTCGCGCGGGTCTGGTAGCTACCTGCATACGCCATCATGAAACCCGTCGAACGGCACACGCTGGACGATGAAGCCCAGTTGCAGGCACTCGGACACAAGGGCGAGTTGAAGCGCAACTTCAGTCTTTTGTCCATGCTTGGACTCGCTTTCGCCATCTTGAACTCGTGGACTGCGCTGTCATCATCAATCGGACTGGCATTGCCATCTGGTGGCTCTACAAGCGTCATCTGGGGACTTGTAACCGCCGGCATCTGTAACCTATGTCTGGCCGCATCGCTGGCCGAGTTCCTGTCAGCATATCCTACTGCTGGCGGACAGTAAGTATCTCTAGTTAGCCTTCGCATCGTCAACTCACGCATCGCAGATACCATTGGGTTGCCGTCATTACCCCGCGGAAATGGGTTCCCCTCGCCTCTTTCATCACCGGCTGGATCAACGTATCCGGATGGCTCGCTTTGACTACCTCCGGAGGCCTCCTCGCGTCCCAACTCATTTCCGGTCTCATCGCGTTGTTCCATCCCGACTTCACGCTGCACGCATGGCAGGTCTGGCTGATTTACGTCGCTTGGACTCTCATCGCCTTCGTCATCAATGCGTTCATGAACAACCTCCTCCCCTACGTTAATCGAGGCGCATTTATATGGTCCATCGGCGGGTTCGCGATCGTCTGCATCACGGCCTTAGCATGCTCATCTCCTAACTACGCTTCCGCTGAGTTCGTCTTCACCGAGTTCATCAATGAGACGGGCTGGCCTGATGGCGTCGCTTGGCTCTTGGGCTTGCTCCAGGGCGGCTTTGGACTCACCGGCTACGACGCTGTCGCGCATATGATTGAAGAGATTCCGAATGCGTCAGTCGAGGGCCCAAAGATCATGATCTACTGCGTCTGCATCGGAACTGTCACCGGCTTCATCTTCCTCATGGTCCTGCTATTCGTGTCCGGCGGCGACGCGGAAGCCATTATCTCTGCAGCTCCTGGCCCACTTCTACAAATCTTGTACAACGCCACAAGCAGCAAAGCTGGAGCCGCATGCCTCTTGATGTTCCCGTTGATCTGCATTCTCTTCGCGGAGATTGCAATCATGACTACCTCTAGCCGCATGACATATGCATTCGCTCGAGATGGCGGCCTTCCATTCTCCAGGGTTTTCGCCAAGGTACATCCACGACTCGGGCAACCGCTCAATGCTTTGATCCTGGCTGCGACCCTGACCATTCTCTTTGGATTGATCTTGATCGGGTCCAGTAGCGCCTTCAATGCTCTCATCTCATCCTCAGTCGTCGCCTTGGGCGTCAGCTACGCCATTCCCGTCGCAATCAACGTCTGCCGCGGCAGGAAAATGCTTGGACCCAGGGCCTTTGTTCTGCCTGGACCCTTGGGCTGGATCGCCAACTTGATCGGTATCGCATACACAATCATTACCACCGTTCTGTTCCTCTTCCCGCCTGAGCTCCCTGTCTCAGCGTCCAACATGAGTAAGTTTCAGTATGAGTGTGCTTGGATCTCACTAATAACGCTAGACTACTGTGTCGTTGCTTTTGGCATCATACTGTTCATCAGTACCTTCCAATGGTTTATCGATGGGCGGAAGAACTTTACTGGACCGCGGGCGGATGTCGATCTCGAGATCTTGGAAGCTATGCAGAGCAACGAGCCAAACGGTGCTTCGCTCCAGCATTCTAAAGTCCCTGGTGACGATATCACCAAATAGTCCAGGTCGTCGCAGATAGCGATATTGCATGTCTATACCTTTGCCCGATGCAATGTCTTTCCTGTCACATGAAGTCCGGATCCTGCTCCGTCACAACGCATTTAGTGAAAGCACGAACTAACTCTCTCACAATAGTATTGACACAACGTCATATGTAAGAGTCGAACCGCCACATTCACTGCTCTTGGCATTGTTATTGATGACGCTAAAGCTCCCGCGCCTAATGCACAATATCTCGACCTCTTAATCACAGCAGTCTCACTCACACCACTCTTTCTGACACGCTTTCCACGAACACCAACCTCATTTCACACAGAATTCTAAGAGAGAGCCATCCACCAATAGCAAAGATGTTTAATCCCATCCGCAAGCTCATCAGTTTCTGGAGCGCCGCTGACGCGAGCGTTACCACATTGTCCAACGACGCATCAACCAAGGATGTAGCGACTGAGAGCACAGCGTACCGCGCCGCCTGCAATCACGCCGCACCTCCTACACGGTACGCGAGCGGCGAGTTCAACACCACACCGTCTCCGCCGCCCAATGCTGCGCTATCAGCATATCTGTTCTCACAGGTGAAGAACACCAACACGTCTACATCGAGAATGAGGAACATCCCGCCACCGCTATTTCCCATGTTTAGTGCGCCGACTGGCAACGCGATCGACGGCGCTTCTACCACGTCGGACGACATCGATATGCCGGATGCGACGCCGATGTCACCTCTGACACCTCCAACAACACCTTCCCGTGATGGTGATGATATCCGACCTTCGGTCGAGACACCAGCCCAAGAAGACATTCACGGTGCAACCGCCCAAGACGATGACACTAGCAAGCCGCGCAACGACACGACACCACCTCCATCTCCGGAACGTGACAGTGTTCGTTCCCAGCCTCCGCGCCAACAGACAACAACCCCATCAGAGCCCGCCCCAAACTGGTTAGACGAAATCGTCATCGAAGAAGACATCCCCGAGAACGCCCTCCCAGTCGGCTACATGGGTACATTCCGCGGAAGCCGGCACTTCATCCCCGAGTACCCCGGTATGAAACGCTGCAGCAACCAAGTCACTCACCTCCTCCTATGCGGCCACTGGATCGACAGCACCGAACCCTGCGGCGCCAACTGCAAAAAACAAGACCACACCCACAAACAATTCAAATGCCCAACCTGCACCGACATCGTCCGCAACATCCTCACGGGATCTTTCCAGCCCGCGGACTCGATGAGACTGAGGGAGTTCAGGAAGCAGAAAGATATTAAGTTTCTGGCTTGCTGTGTCGAGGCAGTTGTTCGTGCTGCACCGGAACTCAAGAATGGGGTTACGGAGGCTGTGGCTGGTTTTCTCTGCAAGGATTCTGGGCGGAAGTGTGAGGGGGCTGAAAATCCTGATCCGGGGGGTCATGATACTATTGAGGAGATTGTGCGTGATATGCAGGAGCGGCATGAGCGGAAGCAGCGCGAGAGGATGAGGAGGGAGAGAGAGGAGGAGTCTAATATGCATGAGAAGAGGGCTAGGGATGAGGATGCGGGGGATGAGACTACTGATGCAAGAACGAGGAAGAACGGGGATACAGCGGAGGATCATAAGCGTGAACGAAACGACGCCTCCGCGGGTGACGACGAGACGCACGATACGGCACCTCCTACCAATAAGAAGCAAAAGACCACACTGGAAACCCACCGCGAACCCATCACACCCTCTACCCGCGGCACGAAGCGGCGCTCGCCATTTTCGACCCCCTCCCCGTCTTCTCCATCCTCTTCCTCCTCCTCCTCCTCCCCCAACGCCTCACCCTTCGCCTACCTCGCCAACTCCAGGCCCCCCTCCCCACCATACCCATCTCCACCCCCGAAGAAGAGGGTCTTCGAGAAGCCTGATCCCGCATTTGGCGAAGCGAGCTTCGTCATCGCGCCGCCTCACGTTGTAGGGCCCCTCATGCGAAAGCGGCATGCGGATGTTTATGTCGAGGGTGCTATTGAGCGGGAGAGTAAGCGGAGGAGGAGTAGCGGTGCGGCGAGAAGGGTTGAGGAAGAGAGTGAGAGGGAAACTGCAAAGAGGGACTTAAGTGGAAAGGGCTTCGAGGCTTTTAGAAGGGCCTGGGACGACAGGAATGAGGAAGAGGATTGTGAGCTTTAGGGGCTGAGTCTATAGTTGTGGAGTTACAGCATTGGGAGAGGTGTCGATGATGGGTATCATTGACGGTTCTGCGAGGGCGAAGTTTGTCGGAGGCGGTGCATTTGCCTCCATGCGTTTTGCTTTTATTCTTTTGCGGTTGATGACGTTGTCTACGGTGAATTTGGTATCCAAGTGACTCCTGTGGCGTTTGATTCGTATCTTCCAGCTCGTCTTGATACGTATGGTATATCCAAGCGTTTTAGAATAGCGACTTCTGCTTTTGCTTTGTTAACCTGCCACCTTATAAGCATATGCTCTATGCTCTTATACTTCTTAGATAGCGATGCGTTAACGGCTTTACTAGACTACCTCCCTTCTAGTTCGAACTTAGAGTGTTGATTTAATGTCTCTACGTCTAGATAGCACAGTTGCGGCGCCTTGCTTAGTATGTCGAGAAAGAGCTAGTGGCTCTAGGGAGCTGTATCGCTACGGTCTTCTAAGCCTAATTCACGCAGCGTCAAGCCTTAATATTGTAATATTATTAGTAGACAGTCTGGGATGCCGTCTTATACTAGACGCAATTTCTTAAGTGCCAAAACATATCGCAGAAACTCTTCTAATATTAACAGTAAACGTTTTAGATCTTTCTTATCGTGTTCGTTGCAGTTAGAGACAGCAAGAGTCAAAGATTCAAGCCGCGGGACATAGCTAGTTAACAATATTATCGAGAGTATCAATAAAGAATACGTGTTCGAATAGCCAAGAACAAGAACGCAGAGCAGAGACCAATCTATACATTAATGCTACATGTCTATATGTTGCACAGTGTAGGCATAGTCTGCGAAACTCTCGCTTACATTCCACTCCTTAAGCGCTAGAGATTAATATCCTTCTTGCTAATAGAAGTTTAAAGGGCTATGCGCGCAGTCTTTAAGACTAATAAGCGTTATGTCATGTATCGTAAGCTTAGCGTCTTCGAAGCTTAAATCAAGTTTCTTAATACTGTTGCTAAGCATCAAGCAACCTTTCAGAATTTAGAGCTCGCTGCGACAACTCCCTAAGTGCAGGTTTTAGTCTAGTTCATCGTAGTAATCGCACAACTAGAGGGAGTAAAGCTGCGTTAACAAGAGGAGACGTTAATCCAGAGGCTTCCCTTCCCGCTCGAGATTCGTCACGTGCAGGCAAGCCGTAGAATGCATCGTGTGAAACAGGTAAAGGGTACTCTCTAGTATAGGTACGATCGTGCCCCAGCTATGCCAAGTTAGTATACGAGTACATCACCAAGGGTTCAGCCCTATCTTAAAGACTGCAGGCCAGTCGTCATCGTCAATACATCCTCCAGCACAGGCGCGAGCGCCTCATCAAAGAAGCCCTGATAGAAGGCACCGATCTCCAGATGTCGGACATGTCTCGCGATAGATCAATTGTTATCCAGTATGCATTGCAGCAGGTTTTTAGTTACTTTCTGCAACCACAACTCTTCCTGGACAACAATAGCTTCATCCATGTACAGGTCGAGGGTTATGCCAGATGCTAGCTCGGCGAGATCTAAATGGTCTTTTAGACGGATGCTACGAAAGAGTAACATGTCGGATTCGTCGCGGCATACTCTGGACACACATCGCAGTGAATACAGCGATTTCGCATCGTCGTCGTGAAGCTATGCCGGCTTTAGTCGATTGCATGCTCGGCCAAACCATAAGGGCGCTTACTATCTCTACGATTATGCGAAATAATACCAATGGCAGCCCAAGCAGATCGTGCGCTGGCATGGCTGGTGTTGCGCGTACGAAAGCTGCTGCTGGGGATTACCGGGTTAGCTCGACCTCTGGTCTTCAATAACGCGAATGATCATCAACGGTAAAATGACACCGCTATTCGGGGGCGGTATTCAATGCATGAGATGAGAACAATAAGCTGATAGGCGAGTCAGAGATATTGGTTGTTGTTCTGGGCTGAGGCATGCGACGTGTTGGAGGTGTGAGAGTTGACCGTTTACCGCTGCACTAGTCCTGGTCTGGCAAAGCGTTGCTTCTAAAAGCGGGGCTCCGCACACCAGTCTCGCCCGCAGCCTACGCGCCCCTCCTCACTGCCCTCCTGAATGTCTAGCATGCGCTGCTCGAATGCCTAACAGAATACCAATCGCACACTTTATGCGCATGTCGTCTTGCGCATTTGTCATATAATCCAGATGCGACAGCTAGTCGTTTCTTTGAAGTTGCATATCCTGTGGGTGGCCTCTGATCCGATCTTCCCGGTGGCCAGGTCCGCTTCGATCACGAACTACTCCCGCGGCCCGCCATAACATACCTCGATCTTCCCACGGACCACTCTGCATTTACATGATGCATCCGATTTCGATTTGGCCATCGCTGCATGATACACCAACATAAGCTTTACAGTGTACGGAGATCCCTTTGGCAAAATCGAACGCCGAGATCGACTCAACTCCTCGGATCTTCTCACGGACCACTCATGTGTCTGACTGCATCTACGTTATGCATCCGTTCTCGATTGGACTATTGTTGCATGATACACTAAGCATGAAATTTGCAGTATACAGAAATCCCTTGGGAGAATTTCAATGCCGAGATCGAGTGAACTCTTCGGATGTCCACCCTTCGAAAGGGTCGAAGATTCACCGTTCGGAAGGTCCAAGTGCTCACCGTTCGGAAGGCTCGAGTGGCTTGTGTCCGTTGGAAGGGCTCAGAGGCAGACAATCGACATTGTGATGTTGTCGAGGTTGCAATGACTGTATTTGAAGCCCCCGTCATGACTCGACAAAGCAGTATCTTTGCATCCTCTACTCACCATTGAACTACCCATATTCGCAAGGCGCCTCTTTCGCTCAGTATGGCTTTCAAGATCGAGACCGGACTGCAGGTCTGGACAATCGCCTTATCAGTCAGCTCGATCGCTTTGTCTACCATCGCGGTCATCTTACGTCTTGTGGCCAAGTACATCCGCAAACGAATCGACGCCAGCGACTACTGCATTATAGCAGCTTTGGTACTACTCTCTCATCCTTCATCTTCATACTGCATTCTGTCGCATGACGTGCCCACGTAAATACCGGAAGCATCTTGCAGCGCAAAGTTACTGACTTCATTTGACAGGTTTTCAACCTGGCAACAAACTGCAACCACTTATACCTCGTCTTCCACGCAGGCTATGGCCTCGAACTCACAACCCTCCTACATCGTTTTGGTATCCTCAATATGCGCATCCTCTCCAAAGGCACATTAGTCGCGGTGTGCACTTGGCATGTCACTGCCTGCCTGTCCAAGCTCTCGGTCCTGCTCATGTACACTTCGATCATACCCAACGCATCCATGCGCGTAATATGTCGCTATTTCGGCGCGACGATCGTCGTATGGACAGTGGCAGATCTGATTGCGGTATTGTCGATTTGCAGACCGTTCAACATGGCATGGATCAACGCAGACAAATGCCCTAACCAGACTCTGTTCTATTTCATCATGGGCTTACTGAATCTGATCATCGATACGATCATCATCGCACTTCCGATGCCGTATCTGATCCGCCTGCGGACGTCATGGCGTAAGAAGATTGTTGCGATTGTCTTGCTAGGGATGGGTATAGTGTACGTATACCAGACAGACTTCCATCGCCTGCAATATGCTAACTCGAACCCTAGGACCTGGGCCATTACCATCTATCGCCAGAAGTGCCTGTGGGGTCTGAATTGGCGAAAGGTCAATCGATACTCGGACATGGCCATCGCCATGTTCCTAGGTGGCCTCGAGTGCGCAGTCATGATCGTTGTGGCTTGCATACCGCTCATGCGTCCTCTCTTTTCGAGAAGCAAGGCTCGCAGCCCGCCGAACCATGGCGACGACCTCAACGGAGGGGCACAACTAGAGAAAGGGAACAAGAAGGCGCCAACTAAGCTTCCTCGATTGCTCGACCCGCCGTCCTGGTTCGACAATGAGGACGATGCCGATGCGCAGGTCGAGCTACAGGCAAAGAAGGATGGGCAGGTGACGGATGCGGAGTCTTCTAGTTCCTCTGACATCTCAGGCGCGCCAGGCGAAACGAAAGATCCTGGCGTGGATAGGAAGATATGGGCAGCGCCAGTATGCTGGGATGCACCTGAGGAATGTCGTAAGCAGGGTCCGCACGCGCCACCCATTGTGCATGCAGATGCGCTTTGATGCGACCTGAAGGATTGCCCGCCATGTTCAACCAAGTCCGAAAGCTACTGTCGTTCTCTATCTAGTAAACAGGCATTATCTCAAAGAGATTTATTAGTGGTACTGTTGCTGGTCATGAAATAGCGCGAACATTCATACCGTGCATTTCATTCAAGCCTCACGCACCAGGCACCACTCGGAAAAAGATTAATGAGTTACTTGCACAAGTCCCGAAGAAGATGGTTGTAGACGAGGCGCCAGCCAGAGGCATATCTTTTACTCCAGCTGGTGGCGACATGATGGTCGCACGTGTTTGCGCGTCGCGTGTTTACGGGTAGGCACGTGGCGGCATTGGCGGGTCGCGGGAACGGAAACCCCGACAAGGCCCGCCGCCACTGCACCCAACGCTGAAGTCCGTACCACTGCATGACCATACAGCGACACGATCCCATGCGTCGCTCACGCCTTTCGCTCGCGATTTGACGATGTAGGGATAACATGAAAGCCTTGCCGAGCTCCCTAAACCGCGAAATGGCGCCCCATTGACCCTTAAGGCGACTCGTGAACGAGCACGACGTCACATCCTCACCACCATGGTTAGAACGATCACATACGAGGATTGGATTGCAGGAGAAACTGCCAGAGATACACGATGAGTCCCAAGCATATCCAATTCACTCAGGCTACAACCCCAGGAATGGTCGAGATACTTTTGCACACCCCTTTACACAGGTGCCGCTGCCCCAGACGCTACACTCCCATTCCTCACCTGCCACGACGAAGGCGACTTCTAATGGCGACCGGGCTATGTCTACTACTAGATCCACTACTGTATGTGGTACCATCATCATTAGAATTCATTAAGCT